GTCAAAGGCTGATAGCTTCTTAATACCTTCCACTCTCATTGTCCATGTTTCGCAGCCATATAGCAAGATCGAGCGAATTATTAAGCTATATTTTCGTCTTTATGGTGACTTCGCAACGGTTCCATAAAGGTTTCATCGACGGGAAAAACATATTTCCAGCTGTCGTTATCCGGGTAACAAATTCATCCTTCGCCTGGCCATTTGGGATTAGAGTGGATCAAGATATTTAAAGTCGCACTTTCTCAGCTGGCATTGAACTGATATATTAGGTATTTTATCAATATCTTTATATAAGACGAAAACACTTTCGTTTTATTTACATTGATTTTGAGTCCAATTTTCGCTGCAGTTGTTGACACTTTGTTTTAACATTATTTGCATTTCATTATAACTGTCAGCAAAAATGACTACATCATCAGCGCATTCAAGATCTGTGGTGCTATGCTCTTGACTAATTTTGCATATACCTTGTGTGCCGACAAACGGTGTTCATTACCCAGTCTATCGCATAGTTCAATAGTATAGAAGAAAGGACGCAGCCCTGACGGACACCAGTTTTCATTTCGAAAGAGTCTGTCAGTTCCCCATATATTCAGACGACCTTTGCCAGGGTATGCTGATAAAATACTCTTATGGGACGAATGATCTTCTCTGGCACACCGTCATACCGTCACTTTCCAGAGCAATGCTTTATCAAGCGAATCAAAGGCAGCTGCGAAATCAGTTAGTCAGTTATATTCGGGACATCATGAGATGGTTAGTTTGGCCTCAAAAAATTTTTTCCATTTTATGAGGCAATAGCCTTAATAGCCTTAACAAGCTCCCTATCCCATATCATTTCACTGACTTCTTCTCGAATTATTGTTGCTTTATGAAAAAGGCGAAATGATTTTCTATTATGGTCGCTGGTCGCCTAACCGAGCCGCCGTCTCCATTATCAAGGCCATATAGTTCCAGTAATGATTTTTGTCCCTCCGTGCTGCTGTCGTTGTAATTCTTCGAAGCACCCTATAATCAGGATCTCCTTATATTCGGCTTTGGCAGCTTTTTTAGACACCCAACTTCTGACACCCAAATACTTAGTATTAGTATACTCTAGTTTGGAAGCGCTGACTTTCATAAGCATATTTTTAGTTGTGACCAGTATTCATTTGCGGTTCCAGAGATTTTCAACGTTCATTTCACTGAAACATTTCGATAATACGGTTTGAAATGCGCTTACTATTACCGGATCTTTCAGTTTGAGATAGTTGAGAGATTCGGGATATGTTGTTTCTTACGATTTGTCAGTTTTATACGAATCTTGACTCGAACTATAACATGATTCATGATGGTTACCAGTTTCAGCACCCGGATAAAAACGACTGTCCAGTACAAAACTCTTCCAACGATGACTTTCCAATATATAGTCAACTGGAATATTGGTTATTCGGGGAGTTCCCTCGTGGATAGGTTTTTCTCCAATGCCGAAAGCGTATTAGTAAAAAGCTCATGCTGTTCGGCAAAACGAAGAAAGCGTTTTCCATTGGCGCACTTCACCCCGATGCTATATTTATTACCGAGTTCATTGTAATAACGGTATCATGGCTTACGTGCGCTTCCAGTCTCTCCCGACCATTTCATCTCTCGGCAGTGATGATAGTTTGAATTCCGCATAGAACTTATCATCTGCTCATTAAGTTGGAGTTATATTGCTGACTGAAATATTGCAGAACTTTCCCTTGAAACGCGCGTAGGCCATACGGTCAGTTATTGGCTTCTATTCAATAATAGCGGATCAAGCCTTTTCAGACATTACAATCGCTACGCCATTTCGCCTCGAGTTATTCGAGACATCACAGTGATATAGCCAATAATTTTGCTTGGAACCAGGTTTAATAGTTACTGGAGAGCCGACATGAGGAAGGCGGTCCTTCGACAAACAAGCCACACCCACTATATTCTTTACAAACAAAAAATCTTTATTTTCTGCTCAATTTTTTTGGAACATTCATTTAACTCAGTAATGTAATTAATGGTGATTTTGATGTATTGTAAATTGTAAATTGATTCATTTAGTAATTATATAAAATTAAAACAAAATTTTCCATTATTTTTTCTCCTTTTTTGCCAGTCTAACTTACTATTTTTTTATTTTTACAGTAAGAAAACCCTTTGCGAGAAATCACTTTAGGATAATTTAGAAGATTATAGGAAATATTGGATCACCAGCAACATCATAGATTTTACTTTTAAGTTTATTCTTGTTAAGAGAGGCAGAAATCGAACTTATAATGGCTTATAACTTCAGCTGAAAGAATATCCCCATTCGGTCTTTTTTTGCTATATTCCTTTTATAATTTTACATTTGGAAGTGAATATAATTATTAAATTTATAAGGAAATTTATAAAGTGCTTAGTACACTCATCACTGATTCTAGCTGTCTATTAATACGGTTTTGCCATGATATTAGAAGTACAGGTGAGCCAACAGCACCAGTGAACAGGATTTTGCACGAACTGGAGCTCTGCCTTTCAACACGATAATCTTAACTATCCACGTTGTTATCCTACCTCTAAGGGAAGTTTTTTTCTAAGAGCGCTCGCCATTTCTCGCCATTAGGCTGGCTGCTTTGGCTTATTCGACTAAGTCGAAAAGGTGATAGAAGTGCAGGTGAGTTGCAGGTGAGTTCACACGACCTCTCAGGAATGTAAATCGTTCATTCTTCAGTGCATTTCCTTATAATCGTTATTATTAAAATTATGAAAAATTATGAAATCACAGGAAATTAGATTTTTCTATTTTCCCCAGAAATATCGAATTACACATGAAGTATCAATAAAACTGGAGTGTTGTTCATCAATGCACGATGCAAAAAAAGGAACAAATCACATTCATTTTAATATGATTCTTCTTCTTACCTTCTTACGAAATATATTTGCAATTTTTATAATTTTATAATTTTTATAAAATTCCTATATTTTAGTCGGAAAAATTATAAAATAAATATTTTAGAGGAAATCTACAGTGATATGATCGGGGGATAGGATGGGTTGTTGCTGAATTCGGAGGGCCAGGACTAAGCTTCCATTCCCCACAGGAGCAAACCTGTCCAAAAATCCGGGTGATGCTGGCGACTCACCTCTATTTCTATCGCCAAGGGGCTCCCTGGCATATTGCTCAATGTGACAAGTTAGTGGAGCGAGTTTAACCAGTAATGATGAGGATTCTTAAAAAAAAAATTATATATAATTATATGCTTTTTTTTCTCTTAAATTTATTGGATATTATAAATCTTATTCGTTCTTTTCTCGAAAAATTTAGGCAATGAAATAGAAATATTTTCTTTTATTAATATATCATCTGTAGTAAATGGTTGGCATTCACTGCTTCTTATTATGTTAGTTCCATTTGAAATGCAAGTAATTCACCTGTTAAAGAATGTCATCAATTAAAGGAAAACTTATAATTATAATATTTATAAAAATTATATTTATAAAAATATATAAAAATTATAATATTTATAAAATGCTTATAATATTTATAAAAATTTCTTTATGAGTTCGTAAGGGTGTCCTTGGTTGAGTATGGTTTCGATGTAGAATAGGCAGTTTAAATTCGATTTGCATTCCCGACAGAATAAATAAACCTTTAATTAAATTAGTATCCGCTTGCCTTACTCCAAAGGCTCTGTGGCGAAAAATCTTCACCGCAGTAATTACTGAAGCGAGTCAAATTAGAAATGGTGAGTACTATTAGAAGACGATGATAAAAGGCATATTTTTGCAAACTTCGTTTTGATCGAGCAAATCAAAAATATTTCTTTTATTATTTAATTTAAATGAGTTAAAATTATAAGTTATCAATTTGTATCATATTTTCTCAAAAATTCCTCAGGCTATTTAATTTCAGCCATTAATATTTTATTTTATCAACAATAGGAACAGCATTTATTTAGGCCAAAAGGAAAGCTAATTACAACCATTAAGTGAAAGATAATATAAAGATAATATATCCATTTATAATATATATATATATATATATGTGCGGCATATATGAAGGCGTTGTCTCTCTTATTGTTCTGCATAGGTCTAAACTCCCCCACCTTAGTCAGACAATCTTTAGAAACAGGTATACATTCAATTCAAATTCAAATACGAGACTACTATCAGTCATTTCTACATGGATGATATCAAGTTATATGCAAAAAGTAAACGAGGTATTGACTCGCTCATCCATCAAACTCGAATCTACAGCTAGGACATTGTCATTTGAGGGAAATTGGTAATGACTAGTGGGACCTGGCACCAGGAGATACTGCATAGAATCCTCAATCTTCCAGGTGTCTGGTAGAAAGCTCGAGTTAATCACAGAGATGCCCTTATCACCCACAGGAGGTGATAAAGGAATTTTATTTTACATACTATACATATGAAAGTAGGCAATAATATTATAAAAACACTAAAATAAATAGTTTATTAATATAAAATTTACAAATTGTATAAAACGTCACCATTTCTCATCCATTTAAAGTTCCAAATATTTTAAATCAAAAATGAAATTGAATTGTTTTAAATTCTGTTCTCCTCGAAATATATTCTGTTCTCCTCGTAAAATTATAAATCGGAGGAAGTATAAATTTTTAAAAAATAAATTTAAATAATAAATAAAAATTAAATAAATTTTGTATATGAATACATTCGAAGTATTCGAAGACATTGAGAAAATTAATTCATTTCTTGGCTTTATTAAAAAGTTTACAGAAATTTAGATAGAAGTTTACAATACAATTTTTGATCACAATTTTATTTAATCATTGCATTGAGAGAGTTTCTGCTCTCAGAAATCCCATGTTCGTGATCCACTTGCATTTATACCGTCAAAAATACCTGGCAAAAAATTTTAAGCCGATAACCAGCGGAATTGGCTTAACCTGACATTTCTGATTGCTGTTAAGCATTTTTTTTCAACATTTTGTGATTAAGTCATAATTTTAATTTAAAGTGAAAAAAATGTTAAAATGGAAGAGGTGAAGGATGCAACGACTGGTGATGTTAAAAATTCTTTAGTTGAACTCTATCAAGTAATGTCCGAAGGAACAGTTAATGCCACAGATTCATATAATTATAACGTAAGTTAATTTAATTAATTTTCATTAATTTAATTAATTTTAATTAATTTTCTATATTCTTTTAAAAAATAACTAACTTTTTTGATTTTATATAAATGAAAATAATTTAACAGGCAATATAAACTAATCATCAATTATTATTAATTTTTTTTCTAAAAAATAGAAATTTTCTCATTTTCCAAAATTCATTTATTATATTTATAGAGGTTTATTCCTTAAATCTTTAGATTAAACTTCCCTAAGAGAAAAAATGAATGAAAAAATAAATGTTTACGACCGTGAAAAAATCCATCGTATTTAGCGGCACTTCTCAGTGATAGACACCTTAGAATTCATTTTGAATTGTAAATCGCTTTAAAAGAAAGGCTAAAATGAGTGATTATCATATTGCAGGTACACAACGTCAGTATTATGGAAGCGCTGGATGCAGTGGCTAGAATCAGGAAAGAAAATGGAGAACTAACTGAGAAATTAAATGTAGCCAATGCTCGATTAAATCGGTAGTTTATTTTTATCTAGACGCCTTTTATTTCATAAATTATTAAGAGAGAAATGGTGTTCTTTAATGACAAATTAATGAGTAGCAGCGGGAAAGGTACTTTTAAAGTTGGAAAATTTAAATTTAAATTTTTCCTCTCCTCTATTTCTCCTCTATTTAAAATTTTTCACATGCTATATTTAAATGTGCTATAAATCAATTTGCCTATGCTTCTTTCACCTTTTAATCAAAATATAACGAATGGAGCTAACTGGAAATGGTGAACTACTACCACTTGTAAGAACCAATAGAGTGCGTCAATGAAAGAAAAAGAAAATTCTGCGGATGAAGCCAACTAATGGAAAACAAGTGAGGGGAGCTGTTCTTTTGCTTTTGTACTTTCCTTAGATATAAATCGTTTTAGAGCAATGGTTAACCGTCGAGATATTGAAGAGGAATTATTAACTATTCGAAAACAGTACGAAAGCATATTAAGAGATTATCGAGAAACGATGAGCGAACGAAGCAATGTCCTGGAAGAAAATAATAAATTAACCGATGAACGAGATTTTTTCCGAGAAAAATTCAAAATTCTTGCTTCCATTGTTCAAAAATTCTTTTCAGTGGTAATGAATTTAAAATTTAAATAAATGTGTAATAAATTGTAGAAATATGCTTTGAGTCCGTGGTAGGGCTGTAAGTAGTGTATTAGTTCGAAGTGAAATTAAGTGTCATGGGTGCATCAATACGAATAAACCTTAATTAATAAAAGCGAAATCCTGTTGATGCTACTTTGAGCCACTTCTGTCATTCTGTCATTACTTTGGCGAAACGGTCAGTTGCCAAAAACCAGAAATAGTGGGTGCTCTCAATGCGTTCAAAAAACAACAAATGATTCTTTTTTGCTTGAAAAAAATAGTTATCTGGCCAGTTTTTTGATTGGTGCTTTAAAAAATATTGAAGATACCCGATTGTTAAAACCATTTTTTAGTTTATCTCTTCTAAAGATAATTGTACGGGAATAGAATGGCTCAGTTGGTTATTCAGTTCGTAGCGCCGATGCTGAGGTTCGATTCCCTGCAAGAGTAAACTTGTAGAAAAAAACCGGGTGATGCTGGCGACTCACCTGTATTTCTGTCACCCAGGAATTCCCTGGCATATTTGTCCAATGTGACAAGCCAGCGAAGCGAGTTTAACCAGTAATGGTGAGGACTCTTCAAAAAAATTGTGATTAAGTCTCATAAATGATTTTTAAAAAAATGATTTTTTTAAGGTAGATTATCGAGTGGTGCGTTCTTCAAAGTTATCCATCATGCAAAGTACGCCTGTTAAAATTGATAAATTGATATCTATATTTATAAATTTTCTCAATTTTTTTCATTTAACGATTTGTTGATTATTTCTATCGAACCAATTCATGCATCTTGTAGAATTCATTATTTTTTCTTTTTTCACATTCATTTCTAGCGAGAATTTTGCCATTGTTATTTGATATAATTTTTGAACATCGTGGGTTTTATAAGTATAATTGAATTATATGATTTCAGGCAGCGATCGGTTATGTGAAGAATTTGAGAGATTGAACTCGTTATGTTATACAAATGATAATAACGCGTTAGCAGAATCGTTGAATCTAATTAATTCATTGTTGGAAAAATCAGAAGGAAAGGATATTAATGAAACAGTAGAAGAACAAGAGGAAGAGGAACCCCTTCTTGATATGTGGCATATATTAACTATTCAACTCACTCTTGTAAGTTATTTTAAATATTGTGATTTAAAGCAAAAATTTAAAGCTGAATAATTCTTTATGCTCGTATATGTGTCAGGAAAATTATTTCTTCCAAAATCCTAAATTCTGTCAAATTAAATAGCCACTTAAGCCACTTATTCCTTTCTGGAATTCTCCGCAAGTACTGCTTTATCTTAAACCACTTAGTATTATTGTTTTGGATCCCTTGAACCTTCAGATCTAAGTTCCACCTTAAGTCCCTAATAACTCTCTCAAAATCTGTTATACTCCCAATCCTAAGAATCCCATTCTGTTCTCCTAATGCTCCATCAAACTTAAATGATATTTTTTGCAACTACAGTCTTTTGGTTGACAAGCTCCTTAGAATCTTTTGAACACCCCACACTCCTCTCCATCGCCCATATTCTTCTATAACATCGTGCCATATCAAATCGCATCTCATTCTCTTTTTCTTTTTAAAACCACTTATTAGCATCTCGTAAAAAACTCACTTATCCGTTAACCAAACATATTGCACCTTAACCCCTTTTTGCTCCTTTATTACAGCCCACTAACGCTACTTAAAATCCATCATAGAAATCTCTACAAAATTTCGTTGTTGGAACTTTTTGATATATCTCGAAATATATTTTTATTTTTCATGTTTTTTCAAAAGCTTTCCCTAATTCTTAACTCTTTAAAGCTTCTCCGTTTTGTCCTTTGTCTGTAATTTATTAGTAATTTTTAAATTAAATCTTTTCCAATACATTTTAATGCCATCATTTTTGTTGAAACATCGTATTGCATTTTCGTAGCAGTTACAAATTATAAATTGTAATAAGTAGATTACTGGGAGTACCGAAAAAGTATACCAGCAGTAATTTGAAGAATTTCATGTGACAGATTAATGAGGAAAAATTGCTGGGATTTGGTGGGTATCAAAGAAGCTCATTAGATTGGAAGGACTGTTAAGAGAATACAATTGGTTTAATTGTGGATTTATGAACCATTAATGGTTTATAAATGAATAAATGATACGGTATCGGATTGATAATTACACATAATTGGCAATTATGCAAATACGGACTAGCCTTTACTAGTTTTAAATTAAAAACTATGGAATATAATGGTAGTGACAATATCGAAAAACTGTAGCGAGAATTTGAGGGTATTGAGAAAGAATACCATTCATATTATTTATTATTAGGGTTTTTTCTTCTTCTAACAGCTCTCACTGGTTAGGCTGGCTCCGCTGGCTGGAAGTGTAAGATGTTTCTAAGCTGAACGATTTGATATTTGATAATGATAGAAGCTATTTCTTTTTCCATCATCTAAATCCATATATTGCTGGTCCATCTATACGTTCAAAATCTTTCCTGACTGTATCCAATCCAAGTCTTCATTCGTCGTTCTCGCTTTTGTCATTCATCAATCAGTATAATGAAATATGTGTCAACTCTTATTAAGAGCGAAGAATATGCCCTAACCAGTGAAGGCAACGCTCTTTGATGGTACTCTTTATATGTTATCATAAATTATATTTGATGGAAGATGAATGTGATCATGTGAGATTTTATCTACTCGGCGAATTCGTAAAATATATCTTAAACATTAGTGATCAAAGGCAAATTTTTTAATATCCTCCACTCTCACTGGGCAAGTCTCACAGCCATGTAGCAAATTCAAGCAAACTGCAGCTAATATGGATGCGAACTTTTTATTTTTATGGTGATTTCGCTACGTCTCCATGAAAGGTTTCGTTAATCCGAAGAATGTCGTTCTAACTACCGGGGTTATCGGGATTGTAATTTCGTCTTTTGCTTGGCCATTTGGGATTAGAGTGGATCGAAGATATTTAAAATCGGGTGCTTCCTCAACCGGCAATGAATTGTTAAAAATTATTAGCTTTTGTATAAGACGAAAAGACTCGTTTTAATTACTTTGATCCTAAGTCTAATATTCGCTGCCATTGTTGGCATATTGTTTAATATTATTTACAATTCGTCTACAACAAAAAGGACTACATCATCAGCGTATTCAAGGTCATTGAAACGATGCTTTCGACTGATTTGTACACCCTTTTGAGTGTCGACAAGCGGTATCCATTATCCAGTCTAGTTGAATGTTGTAGGAAAAAGGCGCAATCTTGACGGGCACCAGATCTTTCAAAGAAGCCTGTTATTTCCTTATATACATACTGTATGAAACCATACTGATGTATGCTGGTAAAATGCCTTTTTGAGTCGAATGATCTTTTCTGGAACACCGTTGCACTCCATCATTCTCCAAAGCTCCCTTCCAATTGAATCGAAGGCAGTCACAATATTAACGGTGGGGTTGCAGATATTTGAAGATCCCTTCTTAACGTGAAGATCTAGCACAGCAGTGTCCTAGCTTGAATCCAATCCAGCTTTATTGGGGTGCATCTTGCTGTTTCACTGAGACGTCTAGCAAGCTGATTGCTCGATAATTGTCGCAGTATGCCACTGTAATCTTTATTGGGAATTGGGAGCAGAATTGTTTTGCTCCATTCATCTGGTAATTTTTCTTCACCAGAAAACACATTCGTTGAAAATACATTATGAAGGACAATGGACAAGTTTGAAGATTCAGCCCAAGCGCCATTTTTTCCGGATTCTTATTGGCCTTAAGCTGATGGATAGCGGAGATTATTTCTTTTTGTATTAGCCGTTCGCAATTGCAAACATATGGTTCGACGAATGTATCAGTTGTGTCCAGGTTAGCGCATCATGATTCAGTTTGATCTCAGAGAATTCCTTCCTTCTTATGAAGCGATTCTTAATACTCTTAACAGGCACACCATTGCTACGTCTTATTTTAATGATCATTCCTCGAGTTACTTTGTGAAGAAGGAGGAATAGTTTTCTTATCGCCTAATCGAAGCGCCTTCATTCTCAAGGGCATATCGCTCCAATAGTGATTTCTATTCCGTGCTGTTGTCGTTGCAATTCTTTGAAGCACCAGGATCTTGTGGTTTGGCAGCGTTTTCAGACAGTTGGACTATTGTTTCCTATACTCAACTACTGCAATTCATACTAGTATGCCCTAGCGTGGAAGCGGTTGATTTTCGGAGACATTCCTTCAGTTTGGACCAGTATTCGTTCGCAGTTCCGGCAAAGTCATTGTTATTTATACCATTAAGATTTTTTAATAATTCGGCTAGAATGCGCTCACTGTCCTCGAATCTTTTAATTTAAGGAAATAGAAAGACCTTGGAATTTTTCTTGAGAGTTGTCAGTTTTATGCGAATCTTGCTCGAACCGTAATGTTCTAATCCATGAAGCTTGTTTAACAGCGATAGGGACGACCATCTAGCACGGAACTCTTCGAACGGCGAATAACTAAGATATTAATCTGTTTGGAATGTTGGTTATTCAGAGATTTCCAGTTTTATGATGCCGAAAGCATATATCAGAAACAAAAAGTTCATACTCTTCGGCAATGTGAAGAACCATTGGCACACCAGTCTTCAATGCCATATTTGCTAATTGTCGAGTTCATTATAGCGGCATCATGATATACGTGCGCATTCCAGTCTCCCGATTATAGCCATTCAGTAGCGATTTTGTTAGCAATTGAAGTAAAATTTATTGAGGTCGTCTACCGACAAAGTTTGACCATTAATGACAGAGCAGAACTTTCCTTTCAGAATGGCCATACAGTTATTTACTGGCTTCCATTCAATAAAGCTTTTCGGATCGAGGCTTTTCAGACATAATAATCTACGCCATTTTGCTCCGATACATCAATATAGCCAGTATCTTTCTACATTGGAGACTGGTGTGCCAATGGCGAACGTCTTCTTCACATTGCCGAAGAGTATGAGCTTTTTGTTTCTAATACATGCTTTCGGCATCATAGAAGTGGAAATCTCTGAATAAAACTATTTACTCGAGACTCGAAGTGAGCAAAATGGACAAGCAGACAATATCCAAACGATATTTATAAAGATTGTGGACAGTAATCACTTGGCTTGTCGCGTTTTGACATTTCACGTTTCTATGGATAACGCCTTGCCGTACATATGAAGAGCCGTTCCCCTTGATAAGTTTCGACTATTGCCCTGGTTTGCGAGCACATTTACAAATCTTGGAATCATTTTATGCAGGAAATGTACACTTATCGCACGTACAATCGGGTCGGAAATATCATGCGCGTCACAAGACACAGACGTCGTATCAGAATCACTTGGGGATAAAGTTATAAGTGGATCCCCAGCAGCTACCTGGATGTTTGATATGACACGTTTACTTCCGCCGAAAACAAGGATAAAATGGAAAAAAAATAAATTAATCAAAAAATATAAGAAAAAACTTAAAAAAACTTATAGCTTGAGGTATACAAACAAAGAATTGTAATAATTAATAATAATAGTATTTATTAGTATTATTTATTACATATTATTTTCTTCTATCTTAATAGAGCAGTTAAAAGAGCTAACCACTCACAAAGTGATGATCGATCAATTTTTCCTCCAATGGTAATGAACAATGATAATCCCCAATATTACATTTGATACCTGGAAAGCAAAACAAAATTATGAAATGAAATGAAGATTATTATTAGGATTTAACAAGTATTAAATTAGTATTAAACAAGTATTAGTACATCAGTGTTCGAATGTGTTATACAACGGGTTTGGAAGAAATACCAAGGAGTAATCAAGTTTTTGACAATTATATCTTTCCAAAGGTCGGAATTTTTTATCAAGTTAATAACTCGGAAGCAGGACAGTTGAGTGGCTGTTGTCCAGAGTAACATTAGGAATCAAGCGTTAGAGTCAAGTCTTCGAAAGAAATAAAATTATGACTGAGAAGTTCGCTTGGCTTCTGCTTCTATCGCCAAATAACTATTGGCGAAAATTTCTCATCTACTAACAGTTAGAGGAGCGAGAGTAACTAAATGGTGAGAACTATTTTTAGAGCCTTTGCTAATTTAATATAAATTGATAAAATATATGGGTTTTTCCTATTATTTATTAATCATATTTATCCTCTACTGGATTAATTTAACTTAACTGGATTAATTTTTAAAGCAAAAAATGCAAAAATAGGTTGTTTCGTGTTTCTTTTATTTCATGACTTAATTTCTTAAAGAAATCAACTGGTCTAAATAGTGGTATTATCCTCGGAGGTGGAAAAACCGATGACGTTTTGGATACAAAAGTTCCTCTCTTCGTTAAGGATGTCATTCCAGGATCTCCATTCGACGGGCATATCAAGTTTTTTTTTTAACTACACCGAAAATACGAAATTTAGCAACTAGTTAACAAAAGATAAATATTCATAATTTTTATATAGCTTATCATGAGTAAAGTTCACTGTTCGATTTTTTTCTTGAATAGAAAAATTTTCAATTTTCAGAAGATTAGACCATATTTTATTTGTGAATGATATAAACGTGAGTGGTATGGATCAGCGATCAGTTAAAGAAATCCTATGCAACAGCCGAAACCTCAAGATTGTAGGGATTAATTTCAACGAATAACCTTATTAGCTTTTTCTTTGGTTTCTTCCATTTTTTGTTCAAAATTTATTGAAGAATCATCGATCAACCTTTGATATCACTTAAAAAATTGAATACATCTGGGTAAACAAAATTAAATACTTTGAGCATTCCATTAACAGTTCATCCATAAAATGGGATCATATTATTATTCTTTATTATTTGCATAAATTATTATTCTTACACAAATATAATTATAAATTATTCAGAGGCACATTTATACAGAACACCCTATATAATTTAGCATATAATTTTTTAAATATAAATCTTATTAATTATTTTTAGAGTACATTTTATCATTTAAAAGTTTATTTATTTGATTAGCTCGACTTGATTTACTTTCGAAATCTATGGAAAAATATTTGCATCTGCCAAAATAGCAAATCAAAATAGAAATTTCAGGTCATCAAAAGGCGAGATTTTTCATGTCGTATTAAAGAAATTAAACTGAATAAAAGCGCAGGTAATATTTTTTCATTGATGTAGAATTATTTAAAATTTTTTTCATTCATTCACCATGTTCCTGCTAAATCTTTTTATTGTTTCGGTAAATTTTGGAAATTTTTCTGCGAATGGAATTTGATAAAATGACGATATCAAATGATTTACATGACTTAGTGAAGAAATTATTTAGAGCAGAAGCGTTATTCAAGAACTAAGCTGAATTTTGAAATTTTAATAATTAAATGAAATTGTAGTGCAACTAGGAGCGGAATTCGAGAATGGTGTATTCGTGAGTAAATTATATGAAAATGGTTCCGGAATAGAGAGCGGATTATCAGTTGGTAATCGAATCGTTTATATTAACGATATACCGATTCACAATGCATTTCAAGCTGAAAAACTTATTAACGGTATGTCTCTCCAGTGAATCGTATAGAAAAATTCATAAACTGGTTATTATTTCAGCGAATCAGCTGTTTTGTAGTACAAAATTAAAATTAAAATAAATTAAGTCATCCGGATAGCGGAGGAGAGAAATAAGCAAATGATTTCTGTGCAGGTTTTAGACATTTTTCGAGATATAGCCATTTGGCAGAAGCACAAGTGGCTCGCCAGCATTGCCAGGATTTTGCAATGGTACTCCTAGTCCTACTCTTTCATTACAAAACAATCGATTGAAAAAAGGAGAATCAGCTGTTATCCAACTCTTTAGCGAATGGACATGGTACTAGTAGTTAGTGGAGCCAGCCAAGTAGAAGAAGAAAAAAGAAAAATGATACTTGCTGGAAAAATATTATAAAAAAGAAATAAAAAAGAAACTGAGCGAAAGCGTAATAATTCATCCATCTTCAGCATATAAAAATGATCTCATCATTGGTGTAGTTGAGCCGCAAACGTCACGACGAACAGTTTCGAAAAATTTTGTTATTCAATCTTCGGAAAACAAACAGCGTTCCAGATTTTTGAATAAAGTATTTGAATTTTGCATTTATTACAAATAGCTTTTCAATTTTCTAATGATTTTAATTATTTCTTTTACTATTATTAATAATTACTATCAATAATATTGAAGGTACATGAAAAATTATTCGGACGTTCTGGAAACGAAAAAATTCGACCGATAATAGCGCAAGCAAATTTAGATGCATGTGCAGGTGAACTAATGTCTTGCAGACATGGTTCGCTACGAATACCTTCGTCAAGAATTAATTCAGTGACTCGTGCTTTGGTTCGTACAGGATCGCTTAGGACAACATCTTATAGTATTGATCAACGCCAAATTAATGAACAACTCGAAAAATCCTTTCAACAGACACAATCGCAAGTTTTCAGTTATTTTCATGAAAAATTGAAATCAAATTATTGTCATTATTGTTATTAATGTGAATTGTCAACAACGAATAAATAAATTTTTAGGAATGATGAAAATGAAATAATTAAATTAGAGCAAAATGATCCAAAGCAAGTTATGAAATCTGGAAAAATATCTCAACAGCAGCTGCAAAAGTTCCTTTTATTCTTAAATTATGTACATGTCTTATGTACATTCCAATTCCGTTGTTGCCATCAGAATAGCAGACTGGCTGAGATTATCGAGCTGAGAGGCATTAGTTCAGTTCCGATCTCCGATTCCTATCTCCGATAGGAATAAAGGCATTAAAAAATCCAGTTGATGCTGGCAACTAAATTATACTTTTATCGCCTGCTCCTGGCAAAAATTTTTAACCGTACTAACAGTCAGTAAAGCCAGACCTAACCAGAAATGGTGAGGAATTTACTTGTTGAAAGTACTATTAAATCTGGATGAGCGAAAATTCATTCATGAAAAAAAAATAAAATGAATGATTGGTCATATTATTCTAATGAAATTTTTATTACAGTCAAAAGCCAGTGATACTTCATGCAGCATCGAAAAAAAATGATTATTTTTGGATGGGCCAATCACATTTCAGTCCATCAACAACAAAAATGGGTTCATCTATTCCACCATTTCCTAATTCCACATTATCAGCCATTGTAAATGCAAACTGTCCCATGACATCGATCTCAAATTCTGGTGCATCAGCAAAAATTGTTGTTTCTTCGGTTAATTTTTTAACTCAGACAAAAGCTCAAGGTATAGCTCATGCAAAACGCATTAACACAAGAAGTCCTGCATTACCACAGCCACCGCCATATCCAGGTCAACATTCAAGCGGTGATCTCAATCGTTCATCAAATTTACATTTGATGGCTGTACCATCTTCGTCTTATAATTATTGTAAGCTTATCAAGGATTTATTTATATCTGATGAATTTATTCTTTTCAGTTTTTTTTATCGGTTTTCTATCGGTTATTTTAATGAGAAAATATTTAAGGATGTGAAAATTATTTTAACCAGATATTATTTCAGCTATTGATATTAATTTAGCTCCAACAAGGTCAATGTTAAGAGGAAGCGGTTCACAGATTCTTTCAAATGGTGGCAGTACTAGCGGCGTTATAGCGAATCATTCACTGAGTACAAGCGACAGTAGGAATTTAGGCTTACATCTCGATAGTCATGCAAATGCTTCCATATTTTCTGTCGATGATCATACCAATATTAATCCACATATGAATATAGCCCAGCCATATAATGATGTAAAGCATTTTTTTGTTTGTTTAATAATAGCAGATTATTATCTTTAACAATCTGTTTAAGATTCTTTCAAGACACCTTCGTTACTGTATAAATTCTTTACTGTGTAAATTTATTTTCCAGATTATTAATGGAAGGGCAAAGTCAGTGGATAAAAGATCAGCGATAGGTTATTTATATCATAAAAATAGCAAAAGTGCCATTGCACTCCTTTATGCTTCAGCTCCTAGGCGTTTGAAAGTACTTAAGAAAGATGTACGACTTTGTGGAGGAAATATCAGCGGCATACTTATCGATGCACCTTTCGACGATGTAAAGGTAGGTATTTCAGAAAGAACAAAACAACAATAATTCCAATAAATATTACGAAAAATTAGGCCGTCTTGCTCAAATAATACTTTTACTTGAATCAAGCATCTTAGGTTCAATTTCCGTTCCTTAATATGAATAAACTTTTTGTTACCTATTACATGAAAAGCGGGCCACTTATATAATTCTATGATGATTGCTTTTAGAGGGAGAACAAAAAAAGCAAGAAGAAATCTGGCAAACTATGCTCCTCTTAAATAATCATTATTCATTCTAGTTATAATTATAGTTATATTTAATTTCCTGTTATCACCTTCTTCAAGATGAAAATTTTTATTTTAACACCTTGAGCATATCCATTTATTTACTTATCCTCGTTCTAAAAGGTAAATCTAAAGACGCTCAAATTATCCACGTTCATTATGCATTTTCTTCTCCTTTAAGCTTACACCATTGTTGATTTAGCCCGCTCCATTGGCGACCAGGGTAAGACGACTAGGATAGATATGATGCTTTCAAGACTCCGATACCATTGAAAATTGATAATTTTCTTTTACATTTATTTTTTATCATCTGGTCTCTTTATCGTTCGGCCACTGGGATACATTCAAAATTCTCCCTGTCGTATCAGTCTATGCGTTGATTCATCGTTTTTAACGCAATCCATCACATGGTTTAAGGTAATGAGATATCAATAATGAGATATCTGTCAATTCTCATGATTGACGATGAAAAATATGGCCTAACCAACATAACCTTGTGATGACTTTCTTAAGCATTATATTCAAGCGAAAACGAATGTAATCATATCAGTGCTTTCAACTTAGTTTTACTTCCTGATATCCTCCATTCTCATTGACCAAGTTCAGCCATGTTGTAAGATTATGCTTATTATAGCTAAACAGATGCGAGCTTTTGTTTTGAGGCTGATTTCATGAAGAGCTCTCGCTAGATAGAAAAATATAACTTACCACAGCTTTCCAACTTGGGATTTCATCTTTAGCCTGACGATTTGGTATGAGAATGAGTCTGGGATATTTGAAGTTTGAAAATCCTTGAACCATTTGACCGTTGATGAATTTATAGAAATTGCGATTTTATCAATATCTGATAAATAAAACGATAAGAATTTGGTCTTATTCGCATGATTTGAGGATCAGTTGTTGTTATTGCTGTCGTCATCCTAATCTAGCATGTTTTATTTTCTAATAACTGTATATAATTAATGAAATTTTCGAAGCCGAAAGGATGTCTTCAGCGTATTGAAGACTCGTGATATTCTCTCGACTGGTTTTTATCTCTTGAGTGTTGAAAGCGGTGTCCGTAATCCAGTAATCCAGTATATCACATAGTTCAAAACTTTAGGGGAGAAGATGCAGCAGTCAGATGGATGAGTTTCTGTTTCGAAAGGATCTGCCACTTCACCATATACGCAGAGCTGTAACGAGCTGTACTGGGGCAGAATGCTTTTATGAACCGAATTATCTTCTGTGGAGTACCTAAGTCTATATCTTCTGCGATAAAATGCTCTCATAAATTCTCTGGAACGCCATCGTATTATATGACGTCCTTTCAATCGAAACAAAAGTAGCTGCAAAATCAATGAAGCACATGGCAGTTAGGTAATCGATATTTGTCGACAGATGCTACAATTTCCCTCTCAAAAAATTTGGTCAGCCCATCTACGTCCTGTATTAAATCCAGCTTCGTTAGGGAACCTAGTGTTACGCGTTATTCGACAGAAGGAATACAAAAAGGACTTCCTTTTTCATATCTAATAAACTTATTCCTTGATGGTAGACGCAGTGCATCCTATCTTTTATGAGAATCAGGGATCCTTGTTCAAGTTATATGGGATTTGTTCCTTCTCCCATAGCCTTTAGAGGGAGAAAAGAATGGTGGGCAGCCTTTGAAGAATGAATTCAGCTCGGAGACATCACGCGGTTTTATTAACTTTAAGCTTCTGAATCACAGAGATTACTTCGTGATCAGTCGTTATCGTTACGAGTCTGTGGATGTAAAAAATAAATTAATATTTGAAAGCAGTGGGATTTTCCTCGTCTGCCACGCGTTATTACTTATTTTAGAATCTTTGATCCGGCTGCTTTATCAGGATGGTAGAATAAACACTGATCACCGCACGTATTAATAAAATTTTTATTCGCCATCTTAAACTTGGTTAATTAAACAGATTAACATACAGACAGAAAAAACAATATTCGATACGAATTAAATCGAGAGATAACTATTTCAAAACAAATAAGAAATGATAATAATTAAACAATATAAGGGATGTTAAATAACAAAGTGTATGATATTGAAATATTGGGACCCAACTGCTCGGATCCCTTGATGGCACCATAATGAAAAAAGAACGATTTCTTCAAGAAGAATATACGATATACTATAAATTGACCTTTATCTTTTATTGACATATGTGAAGGAATTAATAAATTAGAATTAATAAATTAATGAAAGTCTTCATTTGGCTGGTCGGGATCACCTGTTTAATAAATTTGAAATAATAGAAAACATCGCATTTCGCGACAGTAGAGCTAGTCGTATCTTATGCGCTCTGCGCGATGGAAACCTGAACTGTTTCAGCTTATTTCTTTCCAGTTTATGTATTTTAGAATTTAGCTCCCAGAGATAAGATTTTAAGTAGGATCATTACTCATTGGCGGCACCAATTCTCTCTGAATCTTTTAATTTTAATTTTAGATGATCAAAAGATTTTATAGGACACTATATTTTATGCGTTGTTTCATTTGGTTTTAGCCATAATATAGTCCATAATTTTTGTCAACTTTGGCGCCGTGATTTGTACAGGTATTTAATGCAAAACTGTTACAATGATGATTCCTGTTACGATGTGATCAATCTGAAAACATACTAGATGGACCAGCAATACTTGGACTTAGACGATGGAAAAAGGAAATTACTATTAATGATGGCATCGGATCGAAAGCTTGGAAACTTCTTATAACCAACTTCTTATAACAGCTTGGAAACTTCTTATAGCCCTTATAACCAGCAGAGCCAACCTAACCAGTAATAAGAAAAAGAATGTACGAGCATAGTTTTCATTTTCATCGCATTGTACGAACTGGTAAAGGTAGCCATGCGCGTTGGAGTATGCCATCTGCGATTTGACTCGTTCTCCATCGAATCACTTGAGGATAGAAATGCAAGTGGATACCTCCAGCAGCCACCTGAATTTAACTTTAATGGCAGGTTTACTCCTCTCCAGACAACCAAAGAAAATATTCTAATTCTAATAATTATGATTATTATGGAATTGTCAAAAGAAAAGTTTTTTTTAAATTTCATTCTTTTTTTATTTTTTTACAACTAAAGCTGCATATACATTATATATTTTGTATTCTACAGTACAAAATTCCAGATGGGTGAAAGAGTTCTGGATATCGATGGTTATGATCTGCGTGAAGCAGTTTTGGAAGAAGCAGTATTTATTCTAGAACGAGCTCGAAATGAAGTTGTTACTTTAACACTGGAATACGATGGTGGCAAAAGATTAGAAAACGTGAAAGCAGGCGCAGATTGTGATGGCTTTTATGTGAAAGTTAACATCGATCGAAATGGTGAAAATAGCGATGAACTTGATTTAAAAAAAGTAAATTTAATCATAATTATAGCGTAATAAAAATTGTAATATATTTTATTTTGCAGGAATTTTTGTTTTTTTGACTTTTTTTTCATTTTTAATGATTGATTTGTTTGGAGTTTGACGAATTAGAAATTTCGCTTTTCTGCCGATATTTTATAAATATCTAAAATTTTTATAACAGAGATAAAGCAGCAGATGGTATATTAAATATAAAATATTATACTATCTCCATCGATTTGAACCTTTTAATGTGGCAGTATCTTAATATATTATTAATATATTATTATCTGCTGTTCTTTATTCTTGTGTATGCCCATCATTCTTCGATAAATAGAGGCTTTTAAAATGAAATTAACTCTTTTATTACTCTGAGCTATTTGCCATTTCCACTGTGGGTAAATAATAGAAATGACTTAATTTATAGCTAAAAGCAACGCTCTGTAGAATTGTAGAAAATATAAGTATTTTAAGGGTGAAATCTTATACGTCGATAATACGTTATTTATGGGTGTTTATGGGCGTTGGCGTGCTTGGAAGCTTGACCAAGAAGGTCGACAACGTCACTGTGGACTAATATTATCATTACGTCGAGCTGAAGAAGAATGGAACCATGCACGACGAGTTAAAGGAAAAATGACTGATGAAGCTCGTCCGAGACATATCTATGAGCGCGTTGAGCGTCTGAATTCGTCGCAAAAACGTCCTCTTGTCCTTGTTTCAGCTTATTTGGCTCCCTTCATGCAAATTTTAATTGAAGAATATGGTAATAGGTATGGAAAAATATTTTAAATGCTTCTTCTAAAATTAAATTCTTGAGAAGGAATTCATGAAACATGAATTCATTTGAAAATATGAAAATATACAAATATATCTAAGGGACACAACTTCCTTGAATATAACATTAAATCAGCTGAATATTTCCACTTGAACTAAGAAGAATTTGAATTTCGATAGTAATTCTTTGCTCGAAGTAAGTCGCCATACCATTTCCTCCACTCATCCACCCACATGCCTTAACTATAATGGAAAAAAGCTTCAACTTTACTATAATATAATCCTATATAATCCTAATAGAGACATCCAAATTTTTTTTCTGAGAATTTTCACCGCTGCTGGTTAGAACTTGTTTTCCTAACATATCGAACAAAATTTTTCGAAGCCACTCGGCTATAGAAATACGATGCAATAGAATATTGCCAGTGAGATTTTTTGAAAATAGGTCTAATTCTTTGAAGCCGAGTGTAGAACTCCAGCATCGGTATTCCGAGATGAGAATACCTTACTGGATCATTCTACTCCAGACATTCAAATTGAACAATAAATATTAAACGAAGCATTGATAGATTAGTGCCAAGATAATTGCCACCGAGAATAAACAATGACTCGTGTTCGAATCTGGCCAATGTACCACACTTTGTCGGGCTACAAATTCCGAATGGCGAAAGTATAAGAAAATAAACGATTCAGTGGGTTTTCACTTACTTTGGAGCGCTGAGGTTCTATATCCGGCAGGATTTATCCTCCAAAAATTCGAATGACGGTGACGACTTATCCTATACTTCTGTCGCCAAATGATTCCCTGATTTGTATGGTGCAGCAAGCGAGCCTAACCAGCAGTGCTGAATATCCTTAGAAAAAAATATGGAAATATAGGGAAAATATTGGAAATATTGAAATTAAAATTTAAATATGCTTTTAAGTTTATTTTTCCTTTAATTTTTTTAATTTTTCTGTTTCGTCACTTTCTTCTCGAACTTTACTTCTATATCTTCGACAAGAATAAACCTATCAAAAATCATTATCAAAAATCCGAGTGGAGTGGCTGTTGGGAACCCACTTGCAACTCTATTTCAAAGTGACTCTATGGTGAAAGGGTCTGGTTTTCTTGACATCCACGTTCTCTAATATTTCTAGTTTGGTGATATATGCAACAAGTATAAAATCCGAACGTAATCAGACGACTTGAGAATATGATGTACATCACTGTCCTCATTCTTACTTGCGAGTAATTGCTCGAAACCTGTCAAAGAAAATGGCTGTCTGCACAAGCGGCGAAGGCCGTATTAGCGTGGAACGGCTGAAAGCTTATGTGTGCTGCAAGGCAAACGATCATATTATCCTCACTCTTTCTAAATATCGCGTGAATGTCGCCTGCTTGTCGAAGATCTGTCTTTCTCATCTCGGCAATAACCTGGTTGTGAATGAAAGCACTGGTTATATATTGTGGTACCTCAGATAATTCGGACTCGGTCTACTCTAATAGAAACCGGTAAATAATAACCGTGCCCTTGCTCGCTTCAAAGAAAAATTCTCGGTTTTCAATAATGAAGGAAGGTCTCAAAGGAAGGAAAGTCTTTTATTTTTTCGAAAGTCAGCCATTTCCACGTTAGGACATACTAATATGAAGTACGCCAGTTGGGTATCGGAAGAACTATCCAATTGTCCGAAAAAGCTGCTAAAGTACGAATGTCACAAGATCCTGACCACAGGATGCTTCGAAGAATTACAACGACAGCAGAGATAGAAATCATTATTGGAGTGATTTGGCCTTGAGAACTGAGATTCGATTAGGCAATAATAGGAACTACTTAGCCTTCTGCATAAAGTAACTATAACTCAGCGAACGATCAGTAAAATAATGCAGCATAGTATTGTTGTACCTCTTAAGAATAAGACTATTAAAGATCGTTTTGTAAGGTGGAAGGAATAATTCTTTGATATCAAATTTAACCATGATGCGCCATTTGTTATCGTCGATATAGCTGAATATTCATGTTTGCAAATGCAAGCCACCAGTAAAACTGGCAATAATCTCGGTCATCCAGGAGATTAAGGCCAATAAAACGGAGATGGTCTTTGGGCCAAAATTTTTGAATGTTGTGTATCGCTCTTCATAACATATCTTCAACGAATTTATCTTCTGGTATGGAAGAAAGAAATAATAGTAGATGACTGGAACAATGCAATTTTACTCCCATTTCGAAGAAAGGTAGCAGGACGTACTCTAATAGTTACCAAGGAATCAGCATGTGAAAAAAATTTTTTTTCCTTTAACTGATATAGATTCAAACCGGGACGCGGTTGTGCTGACCAGATATTCATGTTAAGAGTGTTGGAACATCGCTTCAAATATCTACAATCCACCGTTACATGTTTCATCGACTGCCTTCGATTTTTGCGGCTGTCTTCGATTCAATAGCGCTTTGGAGGATGATAAAACACGACGGTGTTCCAGAGAAGATCAATCAATCGATTATAAAGGCATTTTACCAGTGTGAAGCGCAGATTTGTGGAACTGACGGACTCCTTCAAAAGAATTGGTGTTCGTTAAGGCTGTCTTTTTCGATCTTGAATACATTGATGACGCAGTCCTTTTTGCCGACAGTTATGCAAATAAGCTAAATCTGATAATCAAAATAATTAAAAAGAATCTTTTCGTCTTATATATCGGGATTGTAATTGACAATTTTTATCAATTCGTTGCCGTTTGAGGAAATGCTCAATTTTAAATATCTTCGATCCATTAGAGAATCCCAAATGGCCAAGCAAAAGACGAAATTACAATCCCGATAACCGTAGTCAGAATGATGTTCTTCGGATTGACCAAATCTTTGTGGAGCCGTAAAGACGAAAGTCTGCGTAATGGCCAATGATGGATGGAAGATATTAAGAAATTATCTGTCTTTGACCACTCATTTTAAGGTACATTTTATGGTTTCACCGAGCCAATTTCACTGACTTTCATCAACTTTCGTTCAAATAGCACTTTCAATAATACTATCATCTCCGGGCGTCTTCGCTGATTAGGGTTTCTCCGTCACCAACCACAGGAGTTAATAGGAGTATTTCATTATTTGCTAAACCCTGTGATGGCATCAAAAGCGAGGAAGGCTAATCGAGACTTGGACTAATACAGAAGGAAAAATATTGAATATTTAGAAAGACCAGTGACATATGGATTTAGACGATAGAAAAGGAATGGCTTCTTTTACTATCATTGATGGCACCAGATCGAATAGCTTTGGAAACTATTACCTTTATAGCCAGCGCAGCTAGTCTAACCAATAATGGTGAGAGTTAATAGAAGAAGAAAATTTTTTCTTACGACAATTTCCTTATTTCCTTATTATGCAGTTTGGCTAGTCTTCAGAAGCACTAAAAATACATCACTAGTTTTTAGATTTGTTCAGTGCGTTGCAGAATGTCGAGCTTCAAATTCCAGTACAAGTTCCACTAATGAAATGGACCAATGGATTGAAGTACATTTATGTTACATTATCTAATAAATATGATAAATATGATATGTTAGCTTTAAAAAAGATAAAATAAAAACCAAAAACATTCAAAATTAAAATTAAAAGCTAAAAATAAAAATAAAGTCCAATATTTTTAAAATATATATTTTTATAATTAAAATTAAATAGTGAACAGGTGAGGAAACGTGAAGAGTTATTCGAGATGATATCAGTTAATGCAATGAAACAAATTGTCAGTCAAGGATATCACTGCGTATTAGATATTACGCCTCAAGCTGTTTTAAGGCTTCATAGTATGCGACTCTACCCAATTATCATTCGAATTAAGTTCAAATCCATTAAACAGGTTTATTTGGCTTCAAATATCTAAAAAATTCTATTTATGTACATTCCTGAGCAAATTTGCTATAACTCAAATTGGCTCATTAAATTTAAATTTTTCAAAAGATCATTTGTTATTTTTTCAATAAAAATTATAGCTAAAGGAATTAGCTGAGCACAGTTGCCAAGAACGATTAAATACAAAAGCCGCTAAAGAGTTACTAGAACGAGCTCAAATCACTGATACACATCTCGAAAAAATTGACTGTACAGTCAGTACGATAAATGTTGGCGCACAGTATGGCCGAAATACGATTCGATATGTTTGTCAGCAGATTGTTGCCATCGTTGAACATGAACAAAAGCGAATCGTCTGGGTGCCAGCTGTATCTAAATTTAATTCCTAATATATTATCTGTGTTATTATTTTCTGTGTTATTGACTGTACAGTGAGTACGATAAATGTTGGGCACAATATGGCCGAAATACGATTCAATTTTCTGATAATTTGCATTGGTTTAAAAATTTTCTTTTAAACGCTCATCCTAAATCTGAGATTTTCAAGCAAACAGTAACAAATTTATATATGTCGAAATGCCAAAATCATGAAAAAATTTCTTGACGTATAAAATTCTTTGAAATTTTCTCTTATTCGAATTTTAATTTCATCTCTCCGAGATCTTTGATTGTCAAATTTTTCCGCCTAATATGACATAAAAATTTCTGGTCGAATTGTTAAACAATTTATTAACTTTATTCCATCTCATCATTTTGAGTTAAGAAATTTCGCTTTTGTGGTCAATTAAGTCAACTCTTTTGAATCGAAATTTTTCCCCATCATTCCTTATTTGGAAACAATTTATCGGAAATCTGGTGAAAAATGAGCCACATTTCGAACTATTTGCGCAAAATTTAATTTAGATATTTATCTTAAACTTGAAATTTTTAGCTTAAATTTGGAATTTCCTATGAATTTGATGATTCTCTCAAAACAGTTTATTTCATCCTTCCATGCTTTCGTTCCATTAACACACTACACTTATATTACACTTCAAAAAATGCCATTAATATCAAACCAACGAAAAAACTTCTAATGATCGTTTATAATGAAGAAAAATTTTTGTCTAAGTCAATTGACACTTCTACCAGGAAATTTTTTTTTTAATTTTCGTTAAAAAAAGAAAATTTGCGATTTTTATAATGGCGAAAAAGATTTCTTAAAATGATTTTCAAAAGTTACAGAGTAAAAAATTAAATTCGGGTAATTATAGAAAATTTTTGAATAATATAAAATTTCGTACAAGAGATTTATCTAACTATTGAAAAAAATATCAACCCAAGACATAAAAGAAACTCTCATTTGAAACAGCCGCTACTGGCGAGAAAAAAATATTGCAACGATTATAACAAAAAAAAGTGGAAGATGGCGAACGAATGAATCAGATAACGAATAAATGATGAAAATTGTAAGATGATATTAAAAAAATAATGAGCACAATTTATAGATGAATTGGTAAATTGCAGACGGTTTGCAAAACATTTCAGTAATGTCGCCTATTTCCAAACAGATGAGAGTATTTTCGAGGCTACATATGCGAGGTCCACTCCAACAACAAATCCCAAAGTCCCTGAACTAAGATAACCAATACCAGCCCCTAATAAACATGTACGATCCTTTATAAGCTGTTCCGAGTTGAACCTGAAAAGAAAATTAAATTCGATATCCATGAAAAAGTTGTACTAATGAAAACTAAAGATTTCTGAACTTTCCAAAACATATGTTTCAAAATTGCTTAAAGAGAAAGAAAACCTAAGTCGATAACAATGGTCATAAACCCGAATCGAATTCATATTTCGAAGGGCAAAATACGTTAGAACTGGTCCGAGCATAGCACCAATTATCGCACCACATGAACCACCATCTGCTACAGCGTCCTTTAAATTACTAATATCTCCGTTCCTTTCGACCAACTTGCCACCTCGATATATTACCATTAACGGACCAAAAATGCTTCCAACCAATGCTCCTGCCTGCATTGCTCTAACAGTCATATGGATACCATATTCGACTCTCGGTCGCGGAACTTTTAGCATTTCATAATCAGATTGTTTCAGGCCAACAAAATTCTTTAACCATGCCGTACTCATCTATAAACGTTAAGAAAAACTTTTGACTTTTGAAAAAATTCAACACAAAAAAAATTTAAAAAATCATAACTCCAAAGCGTATTTTCTTCCCATTCTCTCTTAAATAACCAATTAAATAAACATATGAAAAAAAACTAGAAAAAACTATGCATATTCGAAAATAACCATTTTTATTGCAACCGAACAATGACGCCAAAACCAATATAATTTTATATAATTTCAGACTTTACAAAAATGAAGTTTCTCCAATAAATTATCCATAATTTGTAAGAAATCTTAATTATTTGGAAAAAATAACCATAATCTCCACCAAGAGCAGGAAAGGAAAAAATCCCTTTTATTATTCTTTTTTTTTAAGGATGTAGAGAAAAAATATCATGAAGTACTTAATAACAATAGAACAAGAGAAAAAAGGAAAATTGCAATGATGCAAAACTCCAGTTTTTCGTTTCAAAACATTTTTGCAACTGATTCAAAGAATTCATCGAAAATCAAAAACATGAATATAATAAATATTTACAGAAAAAGAATCCTCTAATTCTGAACTTTGAAGTTGCCAATTGTAAATTCTGAAATAACCAATTATGATCAAAAACAATGCGCTTTTTCTATTTCCAGTTCAAAAACAAAAAACACAAATCAACGGATAAATCGAGCTGATGAACGAATAAATGCATCAAATTTGAATAAAGAATAATGATGATAAGCAATAAGGAAAATGATACCTCAATATTCCATTAATATAAACAGAAAATGGCCAAAGTGAAAAACAAACTTAATCACTTTATTTAATTAATATGAACAAAAAAATACGATAAAATTTGGTTTATAGAAGAAAATTGTGAAAAAAAGTTTAAGCCTCAGTACGGACTGATTCTTCCGCAAATGAATCGGATTGTGATTGTTTATATGGCGTTAAATCAAGAGTAAGAATCCCAGAAACCGTATAATTTGCCGGTTGTGGATATATTCCAATCATAGCATCCGCTTTATTATAAAATTCTTCTTTAAGTGAAATAACAATAAGTTGCATATCTACTCGCGCTCGTTCACATATAAAGCTAGCCACCTGTAAAAGTTTTATAAAGCTTCTGACAATAGAGAATACTGAAAAAATAATTAAAATGAAACTACCATTAGAATTTCAATTACCATTTCCTGCAATAAAAACCACTGTTCCAAAAAGAACCGAAAATCAGCAAATTAGCCAAATCTCATTTCTCATCTCAAAAAATTTCTACCTTTCCTATATTAGTATTGTCCAGAGCAGCATCAACTTCATCAAGAATGAAAAAAGGCGATGGATTCCGAGCATGAATGGCAAACAAAAGGGCTAGTGCTGCAACTGTCTTTTCTCCACCACTAAGATTATCCATTGGACGGAAACGTTTACCAGGAGCCACACAGTTGTAAGCAATCCCTTCCAAATATGGCTCTTCCATATTTTCTTCACCAAGAAAAGCTTGAGCACTTTCGTTCCTACTAAGTTGCTGCAATATAAATATAAAAAAAAATATCGCAATATACTTCAAATAAAATAATTAAAACGTAATAAAAGTGAACATTTTAAAACTTTCTCAACAAATAACTAAGTATATATATATATATATACCTTATATATTTCATCAATCTTCTGTGAAACCGGCTCGAAACATTCTTGGAAACGTCGATATCTATCGGTTTTTACTTTTTCGAAAAATTGCCGGGCTTTACGTGCTTTTTTCCGTGCCAGTTCACATTCTTCTGTAGTCTCAGCTTCTTTTTCTTTTACGATTTCCATTCTATAAAAAAATTTCATCGTGAAAGCGGTAAAAATAATGCGAAAATTTTTGAGAAAAAATATATAAAAACCTTTCTCTGGCCTTCATGTTTGGCGCATTGATACGAGATATTTTAGCTTGCGCTTCCGCTACATCTTTATTGATTTTATCAACAGCTTTCTTGATTTCCTCCTCATCGTCCAACTTAACAAATGAAAAATTAATACAAAAATCTAGTTAAGTAATCTGCGCATAAAAAAAGCAAAAAAAAAAATTACTTAAATCCATGATATTAAAAACTGGAAAAAAAACAAAATATGAAAAAAGCACCTCTTTCAGATTATCGGAAAGTGATTTATAATTGATTTTTATTTTTGCCTCTCGATCTATTTGTTCTTGACTAATCAAAGGGAGAAGCTGTTCACCAGAACCTAATAAATTTTAAAAAAATATTGGGCTAATTACTGATTACTGATTATTACAATAAAGCCCGATATCCTTAATGATGTCGGGGAATTTTAAAAATAAGGATAATGAAAGATAATGAAAGAAAAATAATTAAAAAAAGCAGAAAATACTCGAAGCAATCGGTTCATCCGCATCAACGTCGGCAAGTGAACCCTTTATCAATGGCACCTCTATCCCATTCATTTTACAGTAATGGAGAAGTGAATGACGTTCATTTCTCCGACGTATCACTGTCTGATCCAACGCCAATAAAATTTTTTCTGCAGCTGATACCTTAAAACTCATTTTATAGTAAATTTTTATCTCCAAACAATAACAAAATCAAAATTATGAATTGAAAAAAATCGAAAAGAAATTGATTGACTTCACGTGCAGCTTGTTGCGCAGCTTTCTTAAGACCGCTTATTTCACATTCACAATCTTCTACTACAGCTTTTTTTCTAATAGCAGCCATTTTCATTTCTTCGAATTCTGTTTCCAGAGTTCTCAGTTTCTAAAAAGTTCAAGTTTCATAAGAAAATGCGAAGTAATTGGACAATGCAAAATGTAATATTTTTTACCTGCTGCTCGTCCTCTTCGCATCTGATTAAGCTGCTCAGTTCCTTGGTTAAACACTTTACTTTATCAGCCTCTTGTTTTTCCTTTACTACAAAAAATGATAAGATTTAAAAATATTTTTTAAACAAAAACTTTGAAAGTGATCTGTTACATCTTTTGTCCTCCGATCTTAAATATTCCAATTCATTACGAAGCCTGTCAAGCTCATTATCGAATTTTTTCAACTGTTCTTGCATTTCTTCGTGAAAACGCATTTCACGCTGTTCGTACTGCCTGAATGGATAATAGAAAAAAGCTAAATGCAAGATAAATATAAACATATATATATATATATATATAGATATATAGATATATGGAATATATGGAAATAATTATGTATTAAAAATAATAAAGGGATATTTTTCTATATTTTTTACTTTTTGTATATATTATATGTTTCATGTGCAACTTGAGGTAATTTGATAAACATGAAAATAATAAAAAGTGACATACTAACAAGATCAAAGAAACTAAATATGTGCATATCAGCTAACAGCTAATCCTTAAATCCCTATCAGTTAATAGCTAATCCTTAAATCTCTGACTTGTTTTTTCTTATATCAAATATATATTTTGAAAAGATATACCGAATGTCTTTGATATTAATACGAGCACAAAAATCACGGAAAACTTCATCCGTTACTGTATCACGTTTGCTTTGCAATCTCTCAATTTGAATATTACGATCAGACATTCGTTGTTCAATTTCATCAATTCTTGGCTGAAATCTCTCATCTAGTGAATTTTTTGAAATTTTTTGACATATAAATGAATAAAAGATAAAAAATTTAAGACTTGATTTTTTACTGTTTTTTGTTAAATCAAATAAAAAGAAACCTGAATTAAAGAATGTTCACTATTTAAAGTTTCCAATTCAGTCTCTAATCTTTGCATTGTCTGATTTTCGATTTTCAAACGTTCTTTTCGAGTAGCTCTGATACGTTCTTCTAATTGAACCAATTGATTTCTTTTCATTTCCACATCGAGTTCTTTTTTTCGAGTTCGATGTAACTGTTGATCTTCATCAAGTAAAGCAGCTCGACGATCTTTCAATTTTCTTAAAATAATGGTAAAAAATTATGTGCTTGGTTGTGTTTCGCAATCAGAAATAAAACAGACCTAATGGCATTTTCATCCCATTTTCTTGCACGAGCTCGCAGCTCTTGTCCACCTCCTGAAATAAGACCGCTCCTTTGGAATAAAGTCCCATCTAGCGCGATAGCTTTGTAACGGTCGGAAGCGCTACCATAAGCCAAATATCTGCAATATACTGACAAAAAATTTTAAATCCTTATAACCGGTAATAAATTAAAATTACTAAGCACAAAAAATGGAAAATAGTTGTTAATAAATAGAAATATTTTCCAGTAATATAAGCCAACAAACTTCGCATCTTCAGCAGTTTCACAGACTAGTGCATTTCCACAAGCAAACTGTAATGCTTTCCGAGCAACTGGGACATTGCATTGAATGACATCAAAAACGAGTTTTACACCTTTTGGTTCAGTTAGTTCCCTAAAATTAGCTGAAAGTACTGCTTAAATCCTTAAGAATCACCTTAGTTTATCTCTCACCTCAGTTTTTCTTTAATTGGATGAACATCAAGGACAGAAAGTGGTAAAAACGTTTCTGGAGCCATTCGCTGTTCTTTCAAATAGACGATACTTTCACGTGCAGTTTCATCGGTATCACAAACGATTGACATCATGTTCTTTGCTAGAACCTTAAGAATTGGTAGAAATTAATTGAGAAGGTAAAAAGATAAAAATATGTATAAAAAATTTCTGCATTAAAACAAAAGGACTAGAAAATTTGATAATTTTATAAAAGAATAAAGTGAAAAGAATAAAGAATAAAAGAATGACCTTAGTAATAGCTATCTGAAAGCGACGATGAGAAGGTTGGCATAAATCAACTAATCGACCATAAACACGATCTGGAAAAACCCTTTTCAAATTTTCAATTGCTTCATTTCGCTTCCGATTTCGTTCTGATTCAGCTGTATCACCATGTGCATCTGCGAGCTGTTTCGATACTTCAGTTAATTCAATATTGACTTTTTTCAAACGTTCTTTCGAATCACGAACCTAAATTATATCAAAGAAATGAATTTATAAAAGTTTGTGAAAAAAAGCGAAAGGAATATTATACTTGTTGCTCGAGATGTTGTAAATTCTTTTTTTCATCCTCCAATAAACTTGTTTGTGATTCAATATTTTCTGCAAGTTGTTCGGCGTGCCGAGCATTCCTTTCGATTTCATTTTCTTTCTGCATATGAAAATATTAATAAGCAAAACCAAAAAACATTAAAGCCTGAAGGACTAACATTTTTCACTCTTTCACTCGCTTGGACGAGACGCCTTTGCTCAAACTGAAGAGTATTTCTATCTGTCTCGTGCTCTTGTAATAACTTATTCAGTTCCATATCCATTAATCCACAACGTTTCGTAGCTTCACCTTTCAAAGAGTAATATTCATTTACCTGAAAGCAAAACAATAAAATCTATTAGTCTATGATTAATTTATATCAAGAATGATGCTCAAGAAAAAAAGGAGAAAACCTGTGATTCACTGAGTTGCATATCCAGCTGTTGCGATTCATCAGCTAATTTCTTTTCACATTCCTGTTTTTTTTGCTCGATTTCTCTATATTAATAATATATAGTAACAAAGTCAATAAGGGCTAAACTTTAAAAAGAAGAAATAGGCAAGATTATAGGAAAGATCTATGCATCGTTGCATAATTTAACGAAAAATCAAAACATCATCGTCATTGACAACACTGTAATAAATAATATACCATAATGGCTAAAAGGTGCATTAAAATAAAGTCTGTGATATTGATATGCTTTTGTGTTCTGATGATTTTTCGAGAAGTTTAATTTAACCTATAACTTGCAACAAATATTTTCACATCGTTATTTTCGTTATTCTATTCTAAGATGTCATAAATGAAATGGAACTGCTATATGTTACGCTTGCCTTTATTTAAATAAATAAACTGTAGATGGAATTCCCCATTGGGAAAAACTTGTTGGAAAAATTCGAGTGATGCTGACGACTCACATCTACCACTATCGACAATCGATAATCGACAATCACTATTTGGAATATTCGTTCAACGTAAGGAACCAGCGAAAGGATGGCTTAGTGGGTTGTTGCTCGATTGGGATCGCCGGTTCGATTCCCGACAGGAGTAATCTGAGTGACGCTGGCGATTCATATATATTTCTATCATCAAGGGACTACCTTGCTCAATATGACAGGCCAGTGAAGCGAGTTTAACCAGTAATGGCGAGGACTCTCTCATTATTATTATTTCTTTATTAGAAGAAAAACTAACTAACTTCCACTTTTCTTCCATAGTTTCAATATTTTTATCATGGGTCTCCGCTACCTTTTGTGCATGAATATGAGCTTTAGTTGCTGATTCTAATTTGGCTTTAACATGAATTGTTGCCTGCTTCGCAGTGACATAGCGCTGTTTTTGACTAGTTACTTGTTTTTCCTCAAATTATTTAATATATAAAATACAAAAATTTTTACAAAACTCCAGTAAAATAATTCTCATCAATTTTTTACTAGATGGTTCTAGCAACGCACAAATGATTCTATCTGCAATTCCCGTCGAAAATTTCCAATCATATTAATATCCAGCAGAACTAACCTGACTAGGCGTTAAATTTACGATAGGGAATTAAAACTAAACTGAACAGCGAGTACCTTATCTTGAATCTTTTGTTCCATTTTATGCAGCTCTGTATTCAATTTTTTAGTATCTCTTGTTTTTGAGCTAACTGATTCATCGCATTCTTTCTTTTTCAATGACAATTCAGCCATAGTTTCTTTCCTTCGATCGAATTCTTCACTAGCATTATTTGCACTTTTTTCCGCGTGATAAAGTTGTAATAAATACATCAATCTTTGCTTACTTGCCTGTAAAACCTTCTTAATTATCAAAAGTATTGAAGAAATTATACACTAACGGCAATACAAATTTGAAAATAACCCAGAAAATTTTGAAAAAGTTAAGTTAAAAGATTTCATTACCAATTCATCTTTCAGCATTTGATATTTTTCCGCTTCATCTTTCTCCATTTTCGCTTCCCTCTTCTCTTGTGCAATTCCTCGCCTCTTATTTAAATTGAAGGCAGCATCTTCTTCCGCCTTATTCATTTCAGCCTTCAATCGATCATAATCGCTTTGAAATTCACACGAGCTAAATTTGCTTTTCTACATTTTCAAATAAACCTTGAGTGAAATCAAAACTGATACAGTGGTAAAAAATTGTAAATATAATATAAATAAAAGCAAACAAACCGTGATATTTCTTCAAAAAGTTGCGTCAATTCTTTAGGATTTTTCATCGCGACTTGTTCAACTTGTCCTTGATATACGAAAAAATTCTTTGCTTTAATAAATATATGAATTTGTTCAAGTTCATGGCTGTATTGTTGCGGAGTTACCAGCTTTAAACAATTTAATAACAATTTTTATTAAATTTTTTTTTATGATCCAAAAAATAAAATGCCGAATAAGAACCAAAAAACTCTGGTTTACAAACTTATGAATAATTACTTTTCCATCAACACGATATTCAGAACCAGATCCAGTAACAGATCTGGTGAATGAACGCATTTTTTTATCATCGTTCTCATAGTTCATTGTAACAACACATTTATTAGCGACTGCTTTACCGACAGGGGCTCCATGTATAAGATCCTATACTAATAAAATTCTTAATAAAATTAAAGAAAATTTTTTTCAAGAAAATACAGCAATTTTATTAAAAACTTTTATAATAAATTATTATAAACTTTTATAATAAACTTTTATTATAAACTTTTATAATAAACTTTTATAACTTTAAATATAACAATTAAAAATATAACTTTAAATAATATAAAAACAACAAAAAATTCATTGTGAGATAAATAATTTATTAACTATTAGTCTAAAAAATTCAAAAAAATATAAAAAATTGGAAAAACACCGGTAAATTAGAGGTTAAGAATCTGGAATTTAAAAAATGTGAAAAAAACGAACATGTAATTTTTTAACGCGAAGATTATTTGCTTTTTCTCCGAGTACGAAACAAATTGCATCCATTAAATTTGATTTTCCTAGAATTCAATTAAACGATGAAAACAGTATTAAAAAATTGAATCAAATTTAATACAATGGAACTTCATCGAAGATTTTTTAGAATCAATTTATAGAAATGAATAAATTCAATATATAGAAAAAAATCACCAGTTCCATTCGGTCCAATAATAGCTGTAAACTGCTGAAATGGACCAATAATTTGTTTGCCTTTATATGATTTAAAATTTTCTAGTTCGAGAGTGAGCAGACGACCCATCTCTTTTAGCCTGAAAATTTCTGATTTTGTTTTTTTTTATTATTTCAAAAAAAAAAATGATTAAAACACTATTCAAAACGTCATAAACGCAATATTAATTAAATGGACATTTATGTACACTTATACAACTTATATACACCTTTGTACATTAGTACATTAATACGTTTGGGGCACAGAAAAGCTCAATAGGTTGCAGTTAAATTCGGAACGCAGATGTTAAGGTTTATTCCCAGTAAACCCGCCAAAAATCCGGGTGATCCTGGTGACTCACTTGTATTTCTATCGCCGAGGGAATCTTTGACATATTTATCTAGTGCGACAAGCCAGCGGAGCGAGTCCAGTAATGGTGAAAGCTCTTATAAAAAAACTGAATAAAATAAATCAAACCCAACTGCATAATAAATTAAAGAAACCAAATAAATATAAATTAACATGATGAATTTGTGAACCTTAAAATAACTTTGTGATTTCAAAAATAATTTTGCAATGAATAAAAAAAACAAGGGAAAGTCAATAATATGATCGATTTAGATATTTTCCTTCTACATAGGAAATTTATCAGAAAATTAGCAAAAGTTAAGAAAATGCTGTGTTGGAGCACTATGAAATACAATGAGAAAAATAAATAAACAAAATAAATAAAAAATAAATTTTGTATTTTATTTTTTGTTAAAAAATTTCATTATTATACACTAATTTTCACTTTCTTAAATTATTAAAAATGGCAGACTATAATAAACAAAGCAAACAATCAGCATTCACCACTTATAATTAGACTAAGAGTTAGTAGAAATTTTTGCCAGAGAAGGAGATGAATAATCGTCACCAACACCAGCCTGCTCTTTTAATTACAGGCTTAGTCCCTTCGAAGGCAGGATTCTGGCACATATTATTGCCACGATAATCTAAATTACACTCCTTTCGGTCACCCTACACCGCTGGAATTCAATTCAAAAAAAAATTCCAATTCGAAGTAAAATTAATGCAACTAATGCAATAATGCAGAAGTAAAGCAAAATTAATTAATGCAAAGCTTGAAAAAAAGAATATGCAACGAAAAAAGCGATCCAATTTAATAAATTAAATGAGGAACTTTTGCGTAAAAAAAGGCATACTTCACATGTGAAATTTTTGATTTTACTTCTATTTTTAGTCATTATACCTTGATTTGTGGACACCTTAATTTCATTTTTAGTTTCACCAGCCGACACGTCTCACTAGCGGACACGTCCAAGTCCCGTCAGCCGACACGTCGTCGTCTTACTAGCGGACACGTCCAAGTCCCGCACACCTTAAGCCACTTAACTCGAATTTACCTAATTTCTGCCCGTCCATTTTGCCAAATCTAAATTGATTTAAAATAATCAAATTAAATGACTCAAAAATATAAAACTTTGAAAGCAACTCGCAAAATCACAAAATTCCGCTGATTTAAAAGACTCAATAATAAAGACTCAATAATTACAACATTTGCAGCACTAAAACCTTATTTTCGTGCACCAAAACTTTAAAAAAGTACGAGCGGACTCCACTCAAGGAGTAGTGGTACCACTCGGGCTTTTAGCGACCCTGTGCCCCCGCCGGAGGTTGGCTTCGAACTGACTTGAGTCGGTGTGAGCAACAACTTGGGCGCTTTCTGCCGAATTAAATTAATTCAAATTGCCGACAACGTGATAAATAATTTAAGTTGAATATAAATGTATATTTGCATAATTATTAGATATAAATACACGATTGGGGCAGAATCGCCTTCAGCCATGGCCACTGATGCCTTAAAAGTCGCTGCTGTTCGAAGACTGCTGCATTGTTTTGCAGCAAGCTGTTCTTCTCTATTTTTAAATTTCTGCTTTGTTCTTTAGCATAAGACAACTGAAGAATGAGGCTCGGACTGCAGAGCAATGTAAATAAGGCAAAGCGTCTTTCGACGTATATATGGACAAAATGAACATTTTTGCGATTTTATGGGAACCAGCTTGCGAGTTCAGCACATGGCCAGGCGAAGGACGGGATTCCAGCCCGCATAGATGCAGCCAGGAAAGTTTTTTCGAACTCTCGTCGTCAAATCAGCTTCAAAATTAAAAGCCCGCACAACCTTAAGCGATCATTAACCTCTGACTGCTGAATCCCTGCTGAGGCTGCATTCTGCAAATTCCCCATGGATGCATTCTCGCGACTGTTTACTTTTACCGAGTTTGTGCCCATTCCGTGGATACATGCAAAGCTAATTTTAAAAGGCCCGCGGCTGGAGAAATTTCGTTTCGTTTCCCCTTTTTATGCTCGTAGTTTCAATTCATAGTTTGGCAAATATAATCGGTGGCCAATGTGCGAACACTTTGCTTGATAAACTGAATTTTTGTCCGCCAAATTTTGGCTTATAATTAAGGTAGTTTACGGAATTTGTTTTATTGCATATCGCCGCTGTTTTTATTTATTTCTCGAGTAGACTTTATAATTTACAAATAAATTTAAGAATTGGGTTGTGGGGAGTTAAGCCATTCCAACGCTTTTTGTCTCCGTTTATTGCTAACCGTTCCTTTTTTCCCATCCAATTTTTTCTCCTTAAGATTTCGCAAGATTTTCTATTGAACTGTTGTTTTTAATACATATCGGATAATAAGCATTAATATTGCGCATCACAGTTAGGCATGAAAGTGGAATTCGCTCGATTTTGAAAAAATGAGGCGCAGCCAAGCTCTGCGGTGAAAAATGCTTCTCGTTAGGGACCTATAATTCAGCCCCGCTGCACTACTTCCCACAGAGGTTTTGTCAAATTAGGCTAAATTTACCGGGTGAAGAATTGCTAGACCAGCCGTTCTGATGCAAACATCATCGTGCCAGAGTTCGCCGAGTGTCCGGTGACCGTCAACCCCGGAAATCTTCACCAATGCTTACGCACCTCAATATTACTGTACAGGACAAGTGAATTGATCCGAACAACATTCAAATTTTGCTTTCCTTTGCTTTGTCCAATTTTTTTTCAAATTTATTTTGTCTATTCATTGAAAAATTGTATTTCGCATGGATTTGCTTCGTCGAAAAGTTTTTAGTATTTTTTCAAATTTATTTTGTCTATTCATTGAAAAATTGTATTTCGCATGGATTTGCTTCGTCGAAAAGTTTTTAGTAGGGAGAAGGTCGAAGTGCCGAACTTTATTTTATTTTTAGGTGGACGACATTTGCAAATACAAAATTGCGTTGAAATTCCTTAAAAAAAATAAAATTATTTCCGTAAATTATGTGAAATATTTCTCGCTTCTATGTGTTACTTTTTTGAATTTTCGAGTTTAATGGTAAGAAATGCAAAATCCAATTCAGTAGATGCAAAATTTACATAAAAATAAATAAAAATATTTTTTGACGAAAATTTCTCATTTTACGAATTCTTCTTTTGCCAATATCTCGCAGGGTTGCTGGTTTATTTTCACCGGCAATTAGAGTAAGCCTTGCGCTTGGAAATATCAGCCAGGGAGTAAGGCGGCCAAAGAAATGTAGACAGGTGGACAACACCACATGGATAGGCCCACTTCTGTCTAGAAGAAAAGCGGAACGACGCTTCTCTTTCAACGCTTTAGTCTTAGTTACTTTCCCTTCAGCTAACGACTGATTATTTTCCAAGTTTCCAAACCCTACTCCATGTAGTTGAATCCATTCGTTTTTCCATTGCCTAAGCCTCTGTTTATTTAGCTCTCGTGTATAGGTTTCTGATAAAATAAACTATTTCGAGTTAGTGGTAAGAAAATATAGCGATGGAAGGAGGATGCGCAGAGAGAGTGATAATTTTTTCATAAAGAATTAGCACAATTGCGGAGGAGAATATTGCGGAAAGAACAAGAGCTTGAAAAGACGCGATTTTAGCCTTTGGTGTGCCGGTCATTTAGCCGAAAAAAATTTTTAATATAATTATTTTTTCCTTTATCATATTAATACATTCAGAAGAATTTGTTTAAAATTTGCTAGGAAGTATTGAGTCTTCCAAAAATTCGTTTTTTTGCTGGGGATGTATATAAAATTATTTTTTTATTGGGCATGTATGTTTCTGTTGTTATGCCATTTTGGTTGGTGTGTCATATATAGCTCCGTTCGCCACGATTTCTACTTTCATTTTGTTGTGGGATCATTAGCTGTGTTTAAATTTTTTTGGCTGATTCCGATTCGATGTGAAACGGATTATGTGCAATTTTCAACTTTTTATAATTCATGAATTTTATGGCATCGAGTGACGGAGGCAGCTAGTAATATACAAATGAATTTAAAAATTATATACAAATTTGGTGGGAATGCTGGTAATGAAAGAATAAAAATGTTTTATGCAGTTCGAGTTCAAAAATACGGATCTCGAAGATGCGCTAAAGTTCTTTGAATGAATTCCGAAGTGGTGAAAGTGGTGGCACCAGACTAGTCCTAGAAGGATTTATGCAGGTTTGGAGCAATGGTTTGGAGTTTCATTTAATACCATGTAGGGTTACGTGCTGTAGTGGAAGAGATGAAAAAATTTGAGTAAATAAGCACTCCACAAATTATTTAAACATTAAATGGGATATGTTTGGACGATTTTTTGCTGACATCTTACGACATTTTTACTAGCGATGAAAATAAATTTTATATTGGCAAAGATTAGCATAACGACAAAGATATACCTTCTCAGTCCATGTATGACTTTCAATGGAAGAAGGCTAAGCGCATTGTTTGATGGTCTGCTCCAATATTAATCTTCTTAAAAGTTTCTTAAAACTTTGTGCAGTAATAGAATTCATTAAACCGAATTTTTTGGAAGACCCAATAAAATTTTCAAAAGCGGAATTTGTCAGATTTTGAAAAAACGAAGTTTTTTTTAACAGTTTATTGTCCAATTATTGTTTTAGAGGTAATTATGCAAAAAATGAGCGTTCCAAGTTATGCGGAACTCGGAAAAGATGCACGTGATCTTTTTAACAAGGGATATAGTACGTTTCATTTGTAGTAAATTTTTTAAAATGATTTTACTTCTTTTCAAGAAACAATTTTATTTTATTCTGCAAAATAAATAGGTTTGTTCCATTTTAAATTTATGTCAGTGAAAATAAATACGTTAGGAATGACTACATCAAGTAAATTTTGCCCTCTCGATTTTTAGTCTTTATTTTATAGATTTTGGGTTCCTAAAAGTAGACACTACATCGAGGTCTTCTGGCGATACAAATGTCGAATTTAGAACATCTGCGGCACATACGATTGCTTCGGGAAAAATTTTTGGAAATTTAGACATAAAATATAAAATTCCGAATTATGGTAATCACTTTGCTCTTTTGTTTCAGCGATGATTTTCTTTGTTTTAATTTGTTTCAAATTCTAGGTTCGTCATAAATTATTTTTAATATGTGATTTTTGCAGGCATGACTTTAACAGAAAAATGGAATACGGATAATATGTTGGGCACAATTATTGAAGTGAGGGATCAATTTGCTAAAGGATTAACAGTGATTTTGGACACATGTTATGCACCTCATGCTGTTAAACATTCTGGAAAAATTAAGATGGAATGGGCTAACCGAAATGCTAAGGTATATAAATTTATTTTATACACCTTATTTATTTTTTCATTCTATTAATACAAAATCAGTAATAAAATAACAATGATAATCTTTATATATCCCAAAATTCAATTCAAATTTGCTTTTTAATTTTCATACCAGTGTTTATTTAAATTTTCAATATGATAAGGCATTTTTTTCTGTGAATTGAATTTTAGCATGGAATCGATCAGATATAAAATTTTCTTTAATTCTTATTTTTAAGTTAAATGCGGATATGAGCGTTGACGGTGGGCCATTGTTCAATTTATCTGCAGTTGTTAATCGAGAGGGATGGCTTCTCGGTGCGCACGCAGTATTTGATGTTGCTCGAAATAAATTTTTGGTGAGGCCTATATTTTACATGTTGTTAACATCGTGAAATTCATTGAATTTGTTCCATTTTTTTAATGAAGTCCCACTTTGTCACATCTGAAAAGATTTGATTTTAGTGGTTTTTAGGGTACTAATCTTGCTTTTGGTCGTCAAGGGATCGATTACACATTACATTCTTATGTAAATAATAGTCGCGAATTCGGTGGTTCTCTCATTCATCGTGCCGCTCATGTAAAATTTGTTCTTTCATCGCATTCATTTCCAAAACTGTCTATTAATTTCTACTAATTAGCCATAAAAATTATCCTTAATTCTCCTTTTTAAAAATTTTTTAGAACGTTTACTTGGGTGCACAACTCGGTTGGAATCTTGGTGAACCAAATACTCGTTTTGGTTTAGCTGTTTTTTATCGGCCATCGAAAGATCTTGAATTGAGAGCTAAAGTTAGCAATGAATCACAAATTGCTCTCGCCGCTACACATTATCTTTCTAATCAAGTAAAAGATTAAATGCATTTAGCAAATAACAGTTTAGTGAATTCCTCCTTTTTTAATGATTTCATAAAAGATTCGGCAGTCAAGTGTTACGTTGATCTCTACAAGCAACAAGGATTCGATTATTATGTTTTTGAAATTCAAACGCAGGGTAGTGCTTAGAACCCATTTATTATTCTATCCTAAAGTTTTCTGGCAAATCTCAGCTCAATGAAAATGTTGGAGAGGTTAATGTTGATTTTTTTTTTGCAGCTCAAGTTGACTTTTTCGACTCAGTTTGGGCTGAGTGAACCGTACAGCGGTGGTCACAAACTCGGAATGGGTCTTGAATTTAGTCCATGATTTGAAATAATTGATTCTTTATATTCTTAATGAAAAAATAGCTAAATAATTCTGTTCTAGACCATATTTTTTGGCTATTGTTTTGTGATTCGTTCTTAATAGATTTGTTATTTTTTTCACTTTTCATCATTTTTATTAGGACATTGCTTTACAGCTAGGGAATCAAATCATGTTACCAGACCATTTATTGAAATTTTTTATTGAAATTATTTTCAATATTTACTGGTTCACTGGTTTAGATTAGTGGTGAGTTTTTAGTAATTAATTAATTATTACATTTGAATCAGTTGGTTGCATGATGATTGACGATTATGTCTGTTAATTCGTCCTTTCTCAAATTTTGATAAACTTCATATTTTACATCCATACAATCCATCCAGTACTTAAATTGCCCGGGTAAAACATTGTGGAAATCCATGAGTTGGTGAAATTCGTATCTAGATAAACCCGAAGAAAGGAAATCCTTGTTCCTAAATTTATTTGATTAAAGTGAAATATAAATCCAAGTAAATTTTTATATTGCATTTGTTTCAATGAAAGCATTGATTTCTATCAGTGATATCATCTGCGATGCCATGGTTATATTATATTATCAATCACAAACAAAGAAATAATGTAAAAAGTTTAACTAAAATATTTATATAATGTAAAATTGGTAATTAAGGTGAAATTTTGTTCATTTCATAATAGACCATTTAGAATAGCGTCCATAATCAATTTCGTAATAGTACCATCATATAATATTATATTTAATATAACAGAGTTTGAAGGAGTGCAACGTGGATTGTTGGTGCTAACGAAGTTCGAAAAGGCAAAAAAATTTGCAGAAATTCACAAACACAAGTTTAACAATATAGAATTACAATATAGAATTATTACAATATATGTAATGCTACTGAATTGATTTTTCGTGGCAAAACGATTGTTTAGAATATAATCGAAAAGTGGTGGTGAATAAGTACATTCATCAGATAAAATGGCCAAATTTCTCCGACGTTCTTAGTTATATAACACCACACTCGGCTGAAAGAAGGAAACAGCTGTTGCGCTTTTATATTGTATAATTGGATGCAAAGGAAATCTCATCTCGAATATGAAGTATTTCATCCAAAATATTTTCATTGAAGTGCTTCAACTCGTTCGCATTTTAATTTAATAAATTTTGCCAAAATTGGTTGAAACTTCGACAATGTTTGCATTAAAATGGTTCTTTTATAGAAATCGCCAATCATCAAATTTCGCTTAAACACATGCAACAACATTTTAATGTTTAAATATGCAGTAAATAGCATTCTATTTGTAAAAACGAATCAAATATGGATTAAGAAATTTATTTATTTTATTCGAGGCGTGGTTCTTTGAATAAAAAGTGGATTTCAACGAAAGCTGACGTCTCAGTGATCGCTGCGAAACTCGGAGTTATCAGAGAGTGGAAAATACTTTTTGTCCGAGTAAATCAGCCGAAAGTATTTATCGAATCGATCAGAAGGCAGTTGTTAGTTTTCTAACTTTTTTTGCAGTTTCCTACTTTTCGCATTACAACCTTTAACTCTTTAATATTATTGTTAATTATCACGTTTTTAGCATTTTTTTTCTATGCATCTATGCAAATGAAAAAAAATAAAGGAAAAGGAAAATTTTTGTGTTCTTCGTGTTTATTCAGATAATTTTAGTGAATAAGACCTACAAGTTTAAATGTTCAGCAGTTATCATTTTTACCCTAAAATCATTGATTTCCTATTGATTATGAAAATGAAAATTATGATATTGATTATGAAAATTTTACAGCGAGTAGGCGGTAATCACTATAATCTCTTATCACTTGTCTTATTTGCATTCACTGTATTATTAACTGCTGTAACTGTGATAGCTACAACCTAATATCATTTGTTTAAATAAATTAAATATAAATTTAAAAATTTTGATACCTTTGATGATTCCTTAATCCCAATTTTTAATGGAAATACCCTTGAGATATTTGTCTATCAATCATTTCGAATGGAATTAGCTGCAATAAAAAGTGATAGGATTACAACAATTTGCAGTTGCAAACATGGCGATTATTTAAAGTCGTATGTAAAAAGTGAAAATTTTGTTTTCACCAAACGTCTGCTTTAGTTTTATAGCATTTATAAGAAAAATACAAATGCAACGGAATTATTTGAACAAAGTATTTGAAAATTAATTCAATTTTTAATTAGTTCATTATAAAAATAACGCATATTTTTGCGTACATTTTTTAGTATTTTTTAAAATAAAGTATCCACTGATAATATTCGATAAAAAATTATTATTAAAAATTATTCCACTTTTTTGAATGAATATGAATGAGCGAAGAAGGATAAAAGTGAATGATCGCACAGTTTTTGAAGCATAAATTGTAGCTTTTTTCCATAAAAAATCACCACCACCGCCATTTTTCATTTGAAAAGAAATTTAAAGGAAACCTATTATTATATTGGAAATATCCCTTGAAATAAGCAAATATGGAAAATTTACACAAAGGATTAGAAAATGAAATGTGCCAAAACTGAAGCAGGCAAATCCGAGGCGGAGTTAGAATTTAAACTAAAGGCATCCATATCGCCATTCGTTTGTTTCGCTAATCGCTGAGAGGAGGAATCTGTCTTGTCGTTCGTTGCTGGTGATGCTTAAAGTCGTTTTTATATTCCTCTTCCTCTTAAATCTGTCCCCTTCATTCTCCAAAAAGGTTATTTTATTTCAAAATTACTCAAAGATAAGCAATGAAAATACTCAAAAATTAATAAAAATTTGAAAAATAACAATGTACCATTAAAAAAATTTTTTTTTGTTTCGTATCCTTCAAAATATAAATTCTCCTAAATTCTTAATAAATATCTTATTAAACTGAGTGGAATTTAGCAAATTTACTAGCTTGTTATGAATTTTTTCAGCTTAAATTTTTTCATATTGTAGCAAATAATGTTAATATTAGTATTTAATTAAAAAAGAGGGGATTTTAATCGTCGATAAATGATGATTCTGTTAGGTGAATAGTGGAATGAGTTCGTTCAGCAGAATTTTTAACTCTTTGATTTTTAAATAATGAATTCTTAGATCTCGATTTTTTATCTAAAAGGGGCCTAAATGGCCTATCGGAAAGTGAAAACTTTCGAAATCTTTCATCGAATACAGTCATATATGCAGAAAAAAAAAGAATAATTTATTAAACTCTATTTTATTGTTTATGCTTGTGTTTACAGTCTTCTAACAGCAGTCATCATTTCCAGTTTAACTCATTTAATTGATTAATATAGTGATATATTAATCCTTTATCACAGAATTTAGGGATAAAAAGTCAGCTAAATCCGTGACATTTGGAGATAGGATGGAAGAGTGGGTTGCTCAATTCGGAGCGCCGATGCTGAGGTTCTATTCCTCGCAGGTGTAGACCTGTCCAAAAATACTGGCAACTCATTTGTTCTATCGCCAATGACATTTGGAGATAGGATGGAAGAGTGGGTTGCTCAATTCGGAGCGCTGATGCTGAGGTTCTATTCCTCGCAGGTGTAGACCTGTCCAAAAATACTGGCAACTCATTTGTTCTATCGCCAATGGACTCTCTGGCTTATTTGTCTAGTGTGACAAGCCAGCCGAGCGAGTTTAACCAGTAATGATGAGGGCTTTTTAAGAAAAAGAAAAAGTCCGTGACACTACAATGATTTCTTTTTCAATGGCAACTATTGCCAAGACGATTCGTGATTCTCGAACTCGGTCGATGTGACAAGCATATAAGCCATCCATCTTCTTGCAGTTATCAATATTTTTGGTTATCGAACGAAGTTAAAACTGATTTTTTGAATTTTTAAATTTGATGATGAATTTGGAGTCGGAAAAATTGATCCAAGTGATGTTTTAACAAAAAAATCTATCTTTTAAACTAAAATCAAGCTCATCTTCATCGTACAAATTTAGTGGTTTCCTTTAGCTGCCTTAAAGCACCGCACTCTTTTTTTTCTCCCTCAAACTTCAAGACCTTTATTAATGAACCCGCAAGAAAGCAAACCACCCACACAGAAGCGAATTTTATATTTTTTCTATTTTATTGCAAAATTGTAGCTAAAAAAAATCATTTTATCGTATCTTATATTTTCATATATTCATTATTAGAAATCTATCGAATGCACCGATGATAAATGAATATTTTTAAGGGTTCCCAACATAAAAGATTTTTCAAAAAAAAAAAAAAATTGAGAAAAAAATAAATCTTCGTGAACTGTTGTTAGATTCCATTAATTTTTTTCCAGAATTCTGAGATAATTTTCCTTTCACCGTTTTCACTGGAATCCACTAAATTTTTCCCAATATAAAAATAAAGAGAAAGCTTTTGAGATTATAAATTTTATATATTTAATAGGTTGTAGGAAAACTGAAGTTTTTCATAAATACTTAATAAATTTTTTTCACTAAAAAATTGAAATAAAATATAATTTTTTTTAGAAAAAGGGTAGCGACTGGGATGAACTCGAGTCACTCTTAGAAAACATCGATGAAACTGATCGGACAACTCCAAAAGGTTTTTCAACTTTCTTATATTTGAGTTGAACCTAAAACATGCGATTGATCATTCATCGGTTAATCCGAAGGTTTCTCGAGAATGAGAGAATTCTTTTCGTTGAACTTTGGCAAACTTTGGTTTTTTTCAGTATTCGATTCACTTATTTCCTTCTAATCGCTTGTTCATATTTTCTTTTCCTTTGGTCATCACTAAAACCTAAAAATTCAGCAGTATTATATCCTTGTTTGTGCTTGTTTGTTGGTAGATCTTAATAAATTATTTACCAATTTTAATAAATCATTTATCATGAAACGATTTCAGTGATCGAAAAGAATCCATGTGAGGATCACATCTGTGGATGGGGTAAAGAATGTGTTGTATCGAAAAGTGGAGAACCTACTTGCGAATGTATTTCGACGTGCCCAACATTGGATGGTGACCCATATGACATGGTTAGAATTGACTAATTCTCGTTGATTAATTTTTATTTCATCGTCAATAATTTCTTTCATCGAAAATTGCCTCAATGAGTGAAAATACGGTAGTATGCAGATCTATTTTATCTATATGCCGCAAATTAAAATTCACCTGTTTCGAATAAAATTAGGTTGATCAGAATTAAACCACGTAACCGAAAATAATTAATGATAATTAATTAATAAGCAAAAAGGAAATAGAACGACGCGCTCGGAAAATGAAAGAGAAACACTTTTCTTAAAAGAATAATGAGGATGATTGTGAGGACGAATAAATAATAAAATAAGAAATTATTGTTATAAACATTAAGTGAAATAAAAGGAAAAGTAAAGTACGAGTAAAGCGAACTTAGTTGGAAAATTGAAATGGAAGTAATGCAGGAGAGAAATGACATTTCGAATGCTTCAGGTTTGCAGTAATACGAATGAAACTTTTCCATCACTCTGCGACTTATATCGGGAACGATGCTTGTGCAAGAGAAAGTCCGTTGAGTGTAAAGTAATATTGTTTACTTCTCACTGCTTACCACTAATTTCTTTTTCTGTAACAAAATTAATGGCTAAAACTTATAAAAACTAAAAAAACTTTTATTCACAGAATAAGATGAATGCAAAGGTGCATTTGGAATATCTCGGTGTATGTAAAGAACTCGAACCTTGCACCGACGAATTAATGCTTCAGTTCCCAACACGGATGGCGGATTGGCTTTTCCAGGTATTCCTGAAAAATGAAACTTTATATGAAATATTAGGGTACTAATAATAATTATGATAAAGCACTAATAATTGTGATAGAGAATAATGCTTATGGCTCCGGAAAAGATGCATCAGGCATAGTTGCTGTCAGCTCGAACTGACAAACTTTCCCGCAACATTTGGTTTTAAAGAGTTCTTTACAACAGCACTGGTCTTTATTGCTCTTTCTTTCTAAAAACTATGCTTTGCTTATCTTCCTACTATTACCTAAAATTATTGAATTTTTTCTCGAAGAAACTTAATATTAATACTTAATATTTCAAAAATAACGAATTTTATAAAAATGATAACGAAATGCAGGCACATAAACCTTTTTTGTTTTTTCAAGGACTGAAGAAGAAATTTAAACATTCTTTAGATCTTTAGGTGATGAAAGAACTAAAAAAACGGCGAGAGTTAAATAATTTGGAATGGGAAGAATTAATCGCTGAAGCTGAGAACGATGATGAAAAGCGACATGTTTATCCAGTTATATGGAAATTCTGTGATTTAGACATTAAACCACATGATAAACATGTCTCTCATCACGAATTAATTCCGATAACAGCACCAGTAATTCCGATGGAATCATGCATCAAACCATTCCTTGAAAGTTGTGATGTTAATAATGATGGAAATATTTCGATTAAGGAATGGGGAAGATGCCTTGGCCTCAAAGACGGTTTAATGCTTTCAACTTATTTTTTAAATAATTCAGTTCCCGTATTCGATTGTTAATTGAATTTATCGAGAATTCTGGGCTAATACATTTTTTAAAGAGTCTTCACCATTACTAGTTAGGCTCGCTATGTTAACTTGTCGCACTAGACAAATATGTTAGGAAATATTTCGATTAAGAAACAGGGAAGATGCCTTGGCCTCAAAGATGGTTTAATGCTTTTAGGAAATATTATGTTAGGGAATATGTTAGGGAATCTGTCTGCGATAGAAATATTTTTGGACAGATTTAATCCTGCGGAGAGTAGAATTTCAGCATCGGCGTTCAACCCACTGAGCTATTCTACTCTTCCCATGCATTACTTCTATTGCTTATGGTAAGTTGTACCTCCAGTAGAAGTGTGTTTTCAGTAAACAGTCATAGTTTATTAATTCTGGATGAAAGATTAAAATAATATCTCGCACTATAGTGAAAGCACATTTTGATTACTTTAACTTTTAGTCTTATTTTTAGGTCTAAAATCGATTAGATTATAGTAATTATAGTATAATTCATATGAAGATCTAAAAAAAGGAATGCAAAACGATATGTGTGATAAGGAAATTGAAAATGTGAGTAGTTCAAAGTGATAATAAAATCTGAAGCTGTCATTTATAACTGGCTGTCATTTATTTTCAGGCGAAATTCAAGAAAGATGTTGATCAATGTCTTTATGATCAACGACGATTAACTGCTGCCAATGCTGCCTAATTTCATGTATATTGGCTATTTTATCAGAAATAATTTTATTCATTTTTTTAGATGAATTTATTTGACGAAAAAGTGCATTTTCTTCTTAAAAAAATCGTACTTCTCGATGTATTTCGTTAGAAAATTAAATTTTTTTAGCATAAAATTCGCCTTAAAAATGATCATGTATTAAAAAATTTTTTGAAAATAAAATTAATAAAATTTTTGAAAATACTAAGCATTAAAAAATTTCGAGGTACCTCGAAAATTTTATATTGTTTATCAAATGTATTGCGGCTTGTAAAATAATCGCTTTAGTTTTTCAGAATTTTTATTATTATTATCATTACTATTATTATTACTATTATTATTACTATTACTATTACTATTACTATTATATATGAAAAATTATAAGCAAATATAAGCAAAACTTAATCTCAAAGCTCTTCATAATTCTTCTAAAAAAGCACAAAAGTTTTAACAAGGGAAAATACTGCTATAAGGTTATCGCCGTCTTTCCTTTCAACAACGAATCTTCAGTATTCAGATTCATTGTAAAAATAATGATTTTTGACAAAATGAAAATTAATCACAAAATGAAAAAAATTAAATTTCTTTCTTTACTCTTTTAACCGCCCTTAATTGTTAGGCTGATTCTGCTACAAGGGTTTCCAAGCCGTTCGACCCCATGTAATGCACGAAAGCAACAGAAATTACTTTTTTTTCAACCATCTAAGCCCGTACATAGGTGGCTGGTCCTCCTCGTATCTCAAAATATCTCCTGGTTATATCAATCCAGTCTGGTTCTCAATTTTGATCCATCCCAGAATATAGTTGTGCCAGTTTCTGCGGAGCGCAAATGACATGGCACACCAGTTCAATACGATAATACTGTTTAGCCATATGATAGCGAAGTTGGAATGGAATCATGCAAGATTCTATCGGTTCGGCGGGTAAAGAAATGTACATTAGGCATGATTAATCAAAGATATCAAAGTTCCTTGATATCTTCCATTTTCACTGGCCATATTTCGCAGATAAAAATATGCACTAAAGTAAAATGAATCCGAATTTCCATTTTGATGGCGATTTCTAAGTGAACCATGGAGATTTCGCCAAACAGAAGATTAATTAACAGTTAAATGTTGTAACTATCCGGTCCTTTGTCTTTCGCCTGGCCATTTAGATACATTAGATTAGATTCGGAAATTTCCTGACACGGCAATGAATTTAGACAATAGGTATTTTGTCAGCGTCTGGCATATGTGAAAACAATTTTTTCTCATTTACGAGATCAATTTCGATGCAATCGATACTCGACCTCAGCCTAAGCCTTTATTGCTAATAAATTCAGTTCCTAATAAATGTGAACAAATGAAAAAGATGAGACTATCGTACATTATGTTGACACTATGTTCTTGGTTGATGACTTTTATATTTTTCAGCGATTGAATACGCGTAGTTCTACGAATATTATAGGGGAACGAATATTATAGGGGAAAGCGTTGACCGGTTCTTATTCGAAATCATATGTCAATTCCCCATACTTAGGCCTATGCTGATGAAATCTAGCAAATGCCTTTATCTTCTCTGGAATACCATTGCATTCAGTCATCCTCCAAAGCAATAGGTTAGGATGGATAGTGATTAAATTGCGAGACAATGTTCCACTTTTGTCTCCGACAAAAAGGAGCGGGGACTCCGTCAATAATAAATCCTGGCAATCCACCTGCACTAAAAAATTCCCAACCATACAAAACCAATGCAGCTTATCTAAATGGTGAACGCCAACCACTCATTTTTTCTTCAGCTAAGTCTCAGCCAAGTGAAGCTACAAATTCATTGGTCTTAAAACGAAAATATGAAATCTGTGCAATTCTTTGAATATTCTCATGGTTTCTTAAATTTTAATTTTTATTTCCAAGAATAATAATTTAATTTATAAATCTTTTTATTGCAAATGAATTTTATTTGTTTATTCGACATTAAAACGAGAAGAGGAAAGTCGTGCGACGGTGTAGAAAAAGGAAACTTAAGAGAAATTTCCGTAAAATTTCCGCAGAGACAAATGGAAAGAGACCTTTCTTGGTGCAGTAGTAAATTGTAAATTGTAGGTGAGAAACGAGAAGAGAAGGACGAAGAAGATGAAGCGGCACATGAAAGATAAAAATGTTTGATTTCCCGTTTATGAACGTTGCTGAATTTTTATTTTTCAAAATTTCGTTTTATGAAGAATTTTCCTGTAACGAGTTATCTTCCCAAAATATTGGAGTTCTCTGCTTTCAGTTCAGAATTAAAAATTTTTCTCTTTATTTTTCTTTTTTTAAATTTTTTAATATATTTAATATATTGCATTATTATTCCGAGAATATTTCCTTGGATTAAATTTTCTCAAAGATTAAGAAAATCGACAAAAAAATTTCCTTACGGAATTCTGAAGAAAATGTGTGGTGATTATTTAAGTTTATTTATCTGTTAAACACCAAAATTTGCATTTTGTTTCATTTTTTGGGTTTTTTTCATCGAAAATTTTGGTTCAAAAGTTCTGAAATTCTGAGATTTAATTCATTTTCTGTTGATCATGGGTTTCTCTTTTCTTGAATATGAATTTTTTTCCTTAAATTCTTAATTCTATTAGTTTCAGATTTGCTTAATTTTTGGCACCAACTCGAATTCATGCGACCATTCGAAATATAAGCCGAATTAAACGTTTTTATTTTTTTTAAATTCTCCATTTTCAGATTCTTAATTTTATAAATATGACAGTAGATAATTTGGCAGTCGCAATTCATGGATTCATGCAAAATGAACGGCGATTTGAAGAAGCTGGAATATTTTATGAGTTGCGTATCATTCGTGATCTTTTAACATTAGGCCTTGATACATCGCCTGTGTTAAAACGGGTTAAAAAGATTGTTTCGAAAAAGTTCATTGATTGTTCTGATGTGGAATTAGAAGATGAATCGGTAAATTTTCCTATGTATTAAATTTTTTATATCCGATTTTCTTGATACGGATTATTTTTTATGATTTTTTATGATTTTTATAAATTATTATAAAATCAGCTCATTTTTATGCCGAATTAATTTTTAATCTGATTTTTTTTTTGAATTAATTTTTTACAATAGTTTTTAGCTTCATGATAGCACGATATCGAATTCTGGCAAATAATTTCCAGGCATTAATTAATATTTTTGATCCGGATGATGCGGGTTATTTCAAATATTTGATGAGTCTTGACCCTAAAGATTGGAAAAATCAAGATCATTATAAAGTACTTGGTTTATCGAAGTTACGTTGGAGAGCAAGTGAAGCCCATATTCGTTCAGCTTGTAAGAATTTTAATTGAATCAGTTCTGATTGTTGAATTTTAAGGAGCATATGAATTGATAATTTTTCTCAAACTAAGTTTTTAATATTTTAAATATCATGTCACATTTGTTCGTTAAAATAGCATTTTTTCTTTTGAATATTTTTTTACTACATTGGTAAATTATTTGGAATAATTTTCAGATAGACTTAAAGTATTGAAATATCATCCGGATAAACGGAAATCTTCAAAACATGCTTGTAATTTTAATAGAGAGGATTATTTTATATGCATTACAAAAGCCTATGAACAACTTGGTGTATCAATTCAAAAACGGCGTGCATATGATTCAGTCGATCCAGAATTTGATGACTCCGTACCAGATGTGAAAACAATCAATGATTCCAATTTCTTCAGTATTCTTGTCCCTGTATTCCAGAGAAATGCCAGGTCTTTATTAATTTTATTGTCGTAGATTACTTGTTTTTTTGTGTCAAAAAGTTGGCTATTTGACAAAATTCATCATTTTGCATTTTATATCCATTCAAAATTCAAATTTGATTTAACTTTTAGGTGGTCAAAATTGCAGCCAGTTCCCCAGTTGGGGAACACAAATAGTTCCCGCGAAGAAGTAGAAAAATTTTATTCTTTTTGGTTCGAATGGTCTTCTTGGAGAGAATATTCATATCTAGATGAAGAGGATAAAGAAACAGGTCAAGATCGTTGGGAAAAACGCGAAATTGAAAAATCAAACAAGGTTATTGCCACATTTTTACTTGTTGTGAATTTCCTTATGTTTTTTGGTTTATTTGTAGGATTTTTTGTTTCTTTCTTCAATTTTTAAGCTTTATTATTGTCTATAGGTAATCATTTTTTATTCATTTATCTAGGATTTGATTGAAATACTCAATGAATAATTTGTTCCAATCATTTTAGGCAAAGCGAGAAGCAAGGCGAAAAAATGAGTTAAAACGAATTCGAAATCTTGTTGAAATGTCTTATAAGAAAGATCCTCGCATCGCTACTTTCAAGGAATCAGATAAGAAATGGAGAGAAGAAGAAAAAAAAGAGAAGCATAGGTTAAAGATGGAAAAAAAGTTCGAAGAAGAAAAGGCTAAATTGGTGCTTAATCGTTTGTAACTTTTTATCTTTATAGTGTTCAATGAGATCATAAAATGAAATAGAACAATTGAAAATTTTCAGAAATTGCTTTATAAAGAATGGAAAGAGAAAGCAAACTTTCCATTCAACAGTGATACCTGCTTAATTATTTGAATTGTCTTTCTTTGTTTTTTTAATAGTTGTTAATTAGTTAGCTGAACAGTCACTGTAAAAAAATAATTATTTCAGGAAATAGCAATGACAAAACGTAAACAAGAAGAGCAGATCCAAGCAGAAAAAAAAAAGAAATTTGAGGAAGAAAAAAAAATCAAGGAACGAATGAGGAAAGAATTAAATGATGCGCGCAAAGCCTTGCGAACTTTTGCAAAGGTTTTAGATCTCTTTACATCAATATTTCCTAAACTGTTTTCTAAAAGTTTATCCTTAATTTTATTTATATCCCTTAAGATTTTATTTGTAACTTTCTTTTACCGGAGCCTTACAAAACAGGATTTTCGTGCTATTGCAAGATATATATACCTATGTATAATAACTATAAAATACCGCACTTGGCGTGAGAATTTGATCAAGAAAATTTGTGATTTAAAGGCCCATAGATATCGATCTTATTTTTGCTTTTTTTCAAAAATATAGATTGGTTATTTCTGATTATTCAATTTTATATATCGTATCACATTCAACAGAAAAAAAATTTTTAGTTTTTACAATTTTTATAAGTAATGTATACTATATATATTTTGTTGTATTACACGAGCATTTGATTATTTTTCAACCCAAAAATCACAGATTCAAGTAATGAACGATACAGCAATTTGTGAATTAAAAAAGTTTGGGAAACGATTTATTTATAAAATCAAGAATTCATTTTTAAATTAATTTTATTTAATTCAATATTTTTTAATTCAGTATATTCTATTTAATTCAATTTTATTTAATTCAATATTCTTATGGGATCTTTTTATAGACTTCGAATTACTGGGGTTCGATGCTGGATTGTATGGATTTAATCGAGAGTTTTTGTTTTCTGGATGATGTGGATCATATTAGACGAATTACGAGGGAAATCAAGTCGCTTTCATCATCTGACAAAATAATACAGTTTCTGTCCTCCGAGCGAGTTAGTGTTTTATTTTCATTAGGAAAACCAAAATTTTAAAATAAGATTCGAATTAAAAATTCTCGTTTTCTATTATTTTCTTCATCAAAATTTTCTCTGAATAAATCATCTTAGAAATGTTGCAATATTTTTGTAAAAATAAAACTATTCTGTAAATTTTCAAAATATTCTTAGTTAACATATTCTTATTCTTAGTTAACATATTTTTTTTCAGAGCCTTTGATTTTTAATAAATGTAAAGCGGATTAAAGAATTCACCAAAATTTTCAGGAAAAAATGGTCTATACCAATAAGACGAGCATAAGAACAATTAAGGGACAAGAGGAAAAGGTAACTAAATCGACACACTGGACTTCCGACGAAATTAATCTCGTGGTTAAGGCATCAAATCTGTTTCCTGCAGGCACACTGAACAGGTATGTCTGTGTTAATTAAAATTAATTAAAATTTGCTTAATAAAAAAATTGTTCTTTTAGCATTTTCACTTGTAATTTTCAGTTTTGCCTTACTGTATCATTTAAAATTCGCAATTTAATTTTATGTCATTGAAGATGGTCTGAAATAACAGCATACGTCAATGAGCATCGCAAAGACAAGAGTGGTGAACCAAGGACCGAAAAAGAAATAATAACACAAGTTGGAACTTTGTCGTAGTCTTAGAATTTTTTTACCCGTGAAAATTTTATTTACAAAATTTTGGAAAAACGGTTTCGCAAAATATATTGGTCGGGACCACTCTTCAGAATTCATACTTTTATTCTTAAATTAGTTTTTAAATTAAATATTTCACCAAAAAATTTAAAGGCTCGAGCAATAAAATGTGGTTATACTTCTGCAACCACTCAGCCAAAATTTAGCGGTCATACCACAGGACCATCTTCATTTGAAAGAGACTGGACTGCAGAAGAACAAAAAGCATTAGAGAATGCTTTGAAAGCTTACTCATCATCTGATCCGGGAAGGTGGGATAAAATTGCATCTTCCGTTGGTCGTACAAAAAAAGACTGTGTTAAAAGGTTACTTTTACCTTTTTGAGAGAGCTTTAAATTTTGGTGTTCACTTTGGTGATTTTTTGATAAGTTTAGATTTTATTTGAAAAATAATGCTAATCATGCTTGTTCTACGAAAAAGAATATTATGTCTCATTCAAATATTTATTTAATTGAATTTTTAGGTTCAAATATCTAGCTGAAAGGGTCAAAGCAAAAAAAGCTCAATCGTAATCCTATATTTTATTGATCTCAATATTTTATTTCAAAAATTCTTGTTGATTATGAATATCTATAAGCAGTTGATATCAAATTATCGCTGTTGGTCAAAGTGAGCAACATAATAATATAAAATTTGAAAAAAATATAAAATATTATTATACGAAAAAAACGACAGAAAAATATTTCATTGAACTTCCGAAAAAATCGATATGTGTTTACAAATTCAGCATTATTCAAAAGCGATTCGTACTAAAAGTGATGCACTTTCGTCAATACTGTGGTCAAAACCAGTGTTGAGGCGAACATGAGAATAGCCTGAAAGATTTATTAATAAAAATAATAATAAATAAAATAATATTTATTTAATAATTATTATAATTATTAATATAATTATTACTAACAATTTTTTTATAAAGATATTCTCAACTTGCTTATTTATGGTTTTGTTAAATGGTAAATTTTTGCATAGCTCTGAAGCCATCGCGAAGGGATTGCATCTCCTTTGTATGCAAAAATTTTTTTAAAATTCCTTAGTCGAGTTTCAGTAGCTCAGTTAATTTCCTTGAAGATTCCTCAATTTTCTGAGTTTTGACCGAAATATTAAGAAATAAATATTTATAAGGGGAAAACTACCGGGTCGAATACTGTCGATAGGTACTGTATATTCCCCGACAAAATCGTTTGCAGATGTCGAATCAAAATCTTTTACGCACAGACGCATAAATGCAAATTCAGGATAATGCACGACAGTAATGAAGGTCTCATTCCACGTGGGATTGAACCTAAAAATTAATTTCTTATTAAAAAAAGATTATAAGTGGAAATTTTCTGCTGGAAAGCACGTAAAGATTTGGGAAATTATTTAAAAACAAACCCGTTATTTCGAATAGACTTTGTTTTAAATTTCTTACAATCCGGTGGAATGCCATAGAATTCAACAGTCACGTAGGGGTCTATTACATCGTTTCCTGGTTGTGTCTTAGGTAAATAATGACCAGAAACAATCTAAAAAAATTTAAAACAGCAACAAAAACCAATTTAGTGCTGGTTTTGTATATTGCTTTGATCGTGAGGTCAAGAAACATGGGTGCGATTTCTAATCCTTGGATTGTAATTTCCATAAGGAAACTCAATTTTTGTTTAATGGACGAGCAGTTTAGATAGTATAGCTTTTATATTATTATATTATCTTTATTTTAATAAAAACTTACTCCAACAAATATTTTTTTGACTTTGCAAGAAATCTCCGGGATTCGAGGATCTAAAGGAAATAAAATTGAATTTCCTGAATAAACAATATTTTCTTTCAAGAAATACGAATTATTCTAACCTAATCCTTTGATTAATGCATCTGGCTTAAGGACATAACCACAGTTGCCATTAATACGAAACAGACCATTAACAAGATCCAAATTTTCGCAACAAGTTTGCATATTCATTGCAACACACTGAACACCGCAAATCCAGGATGGAAGTGGGTTCATATTACTCGAATCAAGACGTAAACCCATCGGGTATGATTTGACTAGCCTAGAGGCAGTATAATTAGCTAGTAAAGTGCCTCCCTCCATAAAACTAGCAACTTTAGATTCCGATAACGATGGTGAACCATCCAATGGATCTAAAAAGTATTTGAATAGATTTTAAAAAACATATTTCAATTTTTTATTTAAATTAATCTATTTAACTTGGATTGTTCAAAAAATGTGGACATTTGATTCATCTTTCGTTTATCGGTCCTTACTGATAAAGCTAAAGGAAAAAAGTTCTGAAAATTCCTCCTCAATCCACAAAAAATTTTCGTAACAGAAATAGAAAAATGTACTAATCATCTTTTAAATCTTTTTATATAGGAAAAATTTACGCTTTTCGATATCTTGATAAAGATTATCAGATAATTTAACGGATGGAAGCGAAATTAGCCGAGAAAATTCAGGATGTAAAGTGATAGATTTTCTAAGGTTTTCATCATCAGGTAATTCATCTGCATCTTGGTCGAATTCTTTGTCAGGTTCAGCATCACCAGGCAATTTTTTTCCTCTTAATAAATATTTATTTTTTAATGCATTTGGAGATGGAAGAGGAATATTTGCACCATTTTCTGGTCGAAAATAAATTTTATCACCAAGAACCTTAAAAATAAAGCATTAATTATAAATCATGTTTTAAATAATCAGATTTTTTTGCATTTTCGTTCATAAATCAACAAATTTTATATTAAAACTATTCATTTTAAAATTTTTTATGGAAAAAAATCCACGACATTATAAATAAAACAAATAAATAAATAAAAATAAATAACTTCATGAAATATTCGAGCCATTGCTTTTTGCTGTGGTAATCCAACATGATTTTCAATAGTAAGAATGATAGGATAAGGATTGTTTTTGAATGCATATTTATTGATAACTTGTAATGCATGACGAAGTGTTATAGAAGCAATAAGAGTTCGCTTATGAGTTATGCATGGTTCACCATTTTCGCCATTAAATACATCGACTAGAAATTGAATAATTTTTAAAAAAGCTTCAATTAATCTGGGAAACATGGTGAAAAATTAAAATCATTAAAAGCCTGCAGTTTTTTTTCAAAATATATAAGAAATTTAAACAACATTGCTTAAAGAATACTAACGTTCCAATAGACGAGCTCCCTTTTGCAAGGCACTAATATAACCCTCAACGGATGCTTCACCCTTCATTTGTAAACCCGTCAGATATGTGTTATGACTTGAATTGATATAATAATGATTTAGGGGCAAGTTCATATTCTGGAAAATAATGGCATGCTCTTGTTTTATAATGCTTCCCCAAGATGATTGTAAAAGACGATATAAACCTACAAATTAATACGCCAATGATAAAAATAATGATAAAAATAAAATAAAAAATTAGTCATAAATCATCAATGTTAATATTTTGTATTTCATGGAAAATATATTAAAAACAAATAAACTGGTATTAATTAAACTGATTAAATGAAAACTTACTGTTAAAATGAGCACTAGAAAAATATAGTAGTAAAAATGAAAATTTCATGAATAAACAATAAAACAGTGGTTTTTAACTCCATAAAAAGAATTTCCAATGAATCAAATAGAAATTAGCCCTTTAAAGAAAAGAATGAAAAACTCACCGAGTGGTCCAAGAACTTTACTATTTTCTTCCAATTCATCAGGTTGACGTTGTTCGAATTCTTCAATAATAGATTCACATTTTTTCTCATCTATGTTGGAGAACTGAAGGAAAATTTTTTAATAAATTATAATAATAACACAATGGAGAGAAAACTAAAGAATTATTCTAAACAATCAAACGATTAATTTTTAAAAAATTTTTTTTCATATTCATATTCAACCAACCATTTAATCAAAAAATTCCGTTCTTAAGAAATTCAAAGATTTGAAAATTCTCCACAATTTTCCGAAAAATTACTTTCATACCTACCATATGTTATTTACTTTCTTTCTATCGTAATTAGTAACGTTTAAATTTCTTTTTTTTAAAGCCAAACCATGTATGATAAATTTCGCAAAGTCTTGAAGGATATTTCTGCTAACAAAAACCAAGTATAACAATTAAAATATGAAGGAAAAAAATAAACTTGTTGTTCATCGATTAAAAATTTTTGAAGATCGGATATATTGAAAACTGGTTCACCCGAGCAGCTAAACAATGTCAAAATTTCTCGATGCTTTGAACTGTCAGTTAACCTTGAGAAAAAATCGAAAAACTCTTCACGATCAAGAACACGATCACTTCCTTTAATTTCTCCTCTTTTGGTATCAGATTCCTAAAATAAATATGACAAGGAATATGATCACTTTTAATCAAATTTATACTAAAAGTACCAAATATCGCTCCATTCTATATAAAATTTCTAACGAACCATAAACATCTTTTTTGCATATGCTTTACTTAACTGCAGATTCATAGCTTTAAGTATCGACCAAATTTCGTCAAAAGTAAGTTTACCTAAATCTTTTTAATAGATTGTGAAATTTACAAAATGTTTGATAAACTTGATTATAAAATATTTTATAATAATTTAATGTATGAAATTTAATTTCCACGATAAATTTCTTTAAAAAAATTTTGTGAAACTTTTTAATTATTATACTTTATTATGCATTCAAAAAGAAAAGATTAAAATTCTATAAAAACAACGAAAATAATAAAAAACTTCATTGAATAAAAAGACCATTTTTATTACGATCGGCTTCATCAAATTTATCGGTAACCCATCGTTTTTCATCAAAATTAAGGCGCTCAATAATATGTTTATTAATTAAATGCCTTAAGGCCGTAACAAATATCGTTTTTGACTCGCGATTTTCAGCTAAAAAATCGATGGATTTGTTAAGAAATTGCCGATTAATAAAAATCACTGAGAAACATGAATCCTCCTGAAATTTTTTTATTTTCATCAGAAACTGACGCAGAAAAATGGAAAGAAAAAGCAAATAAAAGCAAAGAAAAAACTAGAAAATATTTATTTGAAATTTTAGAGAAAATAATAAAAAAAAGAATTTCCAAGTATTTCATGTACAAGCAAGGTATCAAATTCGATAATTTAATTTTTAAAATATGATCCCATAATTTGAAATTTTATTTTTAAAATTTGCTCTTAACGATTTCAAAATTTCATTCATTTCAAAATTTAATTTTCACAATAAATTTTTTGAAAATATTTATATAAAATAAAAAATCTTGTTTCACTCATAATGGGGGGCAAGAAGCATCCTCGACCTCGGACACTCTATCAGAGGGCTAGAGACTGAGGGTTCTGCGCACTACCTTAGCTGCTGTTCCTAGCAGTGTGCTCTTCTGTATAAAGATCTCTGACGTTTTTCCTGGAATCTGTAGAAGCCATTCTTCTAGTTTAGAGGCTCATAGTTTCAAATGTTCCATTATCAACGAAAATACTTTGACCATCACTTTCCAAATCTTCTCTAGTTCCTCTTTCAGCCTTTGATATTTTTCTAACTTCTTATATTCCTTCTTCTTGACGTTCCTACCGCTTGTTGACTGTATATAGCTATCACCACTATTGATATCTGAATCTTACCCATTATGACGATATCTGATTAATCGGCTAGTACTTTTTTGCATATTTTGATGGAGAGATCCAACAGGATCTTTGATGGATCTTATTCTCCAAAATTTTCTGAAGAATTTCCCATCTAATCTTGGAAGGATCTCAGCCATATACTGAGCAAATATACCTATGGATGAATACAATTACTTGGTTATGCCTTTCATTGTATGTTGATCCTGCTTGCATTTTTATATCTCGCCACTATGTGTTAGACTTTGTCTGGGGTGTTGAAATGTAATGTATATAAATGTAAGACTTTGAATGTCAGATTTGGGGTGGAAATTTCCGTGCATTGTGAGGAGCTTCCGGGAATCACATCATTAGCCTCCCAGTCTTCATTTGTTTATCTTACAGCTACCTACCTGATGACTGGCAGGATGTAGTAACCATTTATGGCATGGGTTCTCATTGAGCTGGTCCTTCAAAGTTCTCTTATTCTTTGGTGGCACTTAGACATTGTAGTCTTTTTGCCTCTGCATCGTGGTTGCCATATAACTATGGGACGCCAAGGTACTTGCAGCTAGTTCGCTATGTCCTGGTGGCAAGCCATCCAATCAACTTTTTCTCTCTTTACTACCATCTGGCAACATCTTTAGCCCGACATCACAATATCCTCTGTAGATCCGAATTAGATGGATGAGCGAGTCAATGTCTCGTTCACTTTTAGTATATAACTTGATGTTTAGACCTATGCAGAACAGTATGGAGGACAATGCATCTTGATATATGCGGCACTTGGCAACCACTTGTTGAATTTAAATCGACCAAGTTGTTTTCCACACTTCCTAAATTCTCGATGGTTTTTAAGATCCTGATTCGTTTTATAGAACCAGATATTCACAGTTCTGGTTCCTCAACATTTAATGCTTGTTAATTCCAGCACTCGTATGCTTCATCTATTTGAAGCAGGGAAGGCAGCCATTAAGAAGTTCATGTCCAAGGACTCCACTGGAAATGGGACTCTAGAGATTTTAGCAGCGATTTGAACCAAAACATTATTTTTAAATTCCATATTAATCGCCCTCCTTTAGCCTCTTTTCTTCTTTTTCTAGCTTTCACCACTATTGGTTATATTGGCTCTGACTACAAAGAATTCAAGCTGTTCGGCCCGATGTCATCACTGACAATAATAGAAGACATTCCCTTTTCCATCGTTTAAGTCCATATATTGCTGGCCCACCTATATGTTTAAAATCTTTCCTGGCCGAATCAGTCCAGGTCATGATAGGTCTTCCTCGCTTTTGACTCCATCCATCATAAGATTTAATAAGTAGGAAATATGCGTGGTAGACACGAAGAACGTGCTGAACGTGTCCAGCGAAGAAGGTTATAGAAGACGATGGAAATATTAATGCAAGTGGTATTTGAACGAAGGTGTATGCAATCATGCGATTTTATCCGCTCATTGAACCCGTAACATGTATCTAAGTGGTCAAAGATAGATAAATTTCTTCATAGATATATATATTTCTATAATTTCTTAATATTTTCCAATCTCATCGGCCATGCCCCGCAGCATACTGCTATATAAACGCAAAATTTCGTTTTTCCAGTGTTTTCGCGACGATGCCACAAAGTTTTTGTCAACCGGAAGAACGCATTTCTAGCTATCGTTATCCGAATTGCAATTTCATCTTTTGCCTGGCCATTTGGGATTAGAGTGGATCCAAGGTCATATTTAAAGTCGGCCATTTCCTCAACCGGCAATATATATATTTTTTAATTCCTAATGTTCCAATATTAAATACATTTTTCTATTAAGTTTAGAAAAAAAAACTTAAACTAAAAATCTTTTATTTATAAATAATATTTTAAACATCAAATATTTTTTCTTTTCATTTAAATCAATTATCAGTTAGCTATTAGCATTAAAGTACATCACATCAATTTAGTTATAATTTATCAAAATTAGATAACAAGTAATAAGTAATAATATTTTTAAAAAATTAATTAAGAAAAATGAATTGAATTTTTAGAATATTTTAAATTTCCAAATAATATTTTTTTCATTAAAGGAATATTTAAATAATATTTACTACAGTTAACCTTTAACCTTCTAAAAACTAAGTAATTAGCTTTCATCACTGCCTGTTACACCCGCTCCGCTGGCTGTTACTACGATAGAAATTTTTCGCCAGGGAGACGCCAGAAACGCAGGTGGATCGCCAGCACCACCTAGATGCATCATTAAGCTACATAAATGATTGGAACAGAATTGTTATGGAAAAGGCTAACAATAAAAAACCTACAGATGCTTTTTCTCGAAAACAATAATTTGTCGCTGCTTTTTGTAAATTATCAGTAGTAAATCCATCTCGCACTTCCAATATTTTGTTAATAGCCACTGAAAATTATATTTTTTACTCGACTTCAAAGTCGATAAACATCGTTCAAAATTTAATTTAATCGAATTTAAATTTTTTGAAATATAAAATATAAATTTAATTTCTAAAACATTAAAATTGTACATAAAATTTATCGACTAAATTCGGCTGTCAAATAAGCGAGGGCGACGGAAAGTGAGTGGATATTGTCTGACGTGTTCAGAGGATAAGAACTCTGACCTTGCTCTTGACAGGAAGAGAAAAATATGATGCTGGCGAGCCAGCCGCACTTCTCGCTAAATCGTTCTCTGGCAAAACGTCCTACACATGCAAAACAGCCAATGAGGCGAACCTTATCATAAACACTGAAGGCTAATCATTTATTATCATAAAATTGAAAGATAATGAAATGCACATTAATAACTGCACATCAAATAACCGCTAAACAAGTTTCTCGTTGTTTATTTACTGTTTTTCTCATTTAAAATAGGTCAAAATGTGTAAAAATGAGAGTGAAAATTGTAAAATTGAAACCATTAAGTGCAAATTTTTTTTCCAAATAAACCCATTTAATTTGTCACCAACCACTATTTTTTTTATTTCATGCGAATCGATTAAATACTACTTTAGGCTTTTATTCAACATAACAGAAAAGCTATTTGCTTACTTAGAATTTGCATAATTAGTAAAATAAAGTAAAAAAAGTTGCGGTCGACATTTCCGGCTAAGTTAATCCTTTAGTGCTGCTAGGAATGCCGGAGAACCATTCTGTAGCGACAGAATTACGAGTGGATCCAGCACCGCCTTAACTTTTGACGACCCATATTGGTGATGGGATCATCCGAAACTTTGTATCTTACGATGGTCCGAGTCACTGTCCACTCGCCTATAGTGGCCCCAGTAAAATTACTACAAAAAAATAGACAGAGAATGAACAGTCTTGCGATTCCTTCAGTTTTGTTTTTTCCTCGAGGTATCGAATGAGCAAAATATTTATTTTCATTCAAAATATTATTCTTACCATTTTAATAAAATAAAAAACTACAAATAAACCATTTTTAAATAAAATTTCCATATCCATTTTTGGAAATTTCAAAGAAAATCAGAAAATTTATAATTCGATGGATTTCTCTTATCGTTATCAGATAAAATGAAATGGAAAATCACCTGATTTTAATTTATGCGGTAATAAATTCCAAAATGATTTTGAATGATAACAAAGCCATTTCTGGTCACGAATAGAAATCGGTTTCGCTGATCTTATACGATGACCTTTGACCCGATTCAAATAAATTCCTTTCGAACATAACTCGATACATTTTATTGGATCGATTTCATTTGATGTTGCTAATGGACGTGGAGCGGTTAATCGTTTAGGTGATAATGGTACGGCGCTGGTTATTAACTTCCGACCAACCTGGTTCGAACGACCGCTATTATCATCATCCTTCAACATAGTACCACGAACTATAGCGAAACTAAAATTTATTCGTTTCTGTGCTTCCTCTTTTCGTTTCTTTTCGTTATTTTCATATGCTTTCACTATCTTCGTCTATTTCTCTTTAGTTTTAAACGCCTTTAATAACGCATCGAATCGATTTTTCACTTCATATAATATATTATTAAGTAATTATTTTATTTGAAATGTTTAAATTATTGTTTTAATCGATTTAGAAAAGAATCACTGATAACGACTGATAACACAGAGAATGTTAATTTTTGAGGTGAAATTCTTTTTACTTCGTTGAAATAATTTTGAGATCGTTCTTCTCAAAATAAACGTTTTAACCGTTTCTTTTATAGAAATTTCATAAAAATATATTTATTAAAAAAAATATTTTTGTGAATTTGAATTATTGTCTATTTTTTACATAATTACAAACATTGAAAAAAAACTTTTTTCTCACCTCCTGTGGGTAGTAACGATCATCCTCAACCTGGGAATTGGAGAGTTCTGCCAGTATTTCCTAGCCGTTCCTAATAGCGTTCTTCAGGATAGCGATCTATGATGTTGTTCCTGGAATCTGCTCAAACCACTTTTCTAGTTTAGGGATCAGAGTTTCAAGTGCTGCATTTATCACTAGGATTAGGCCTTTACTTTCTCTCTTCTCCAGTTCCTCTTTCAACCCTTGGTATTTCTCTAATCTGGGATAGAATGGCTCAGTGGGTTGTTGCGCCGATGTTAAAGTTCTATTCCCCGCAGGAGTAAACCAGTCCAAAAATCTGGGTCTGCTGGCCGCTCGTCTTGTACTGGTGTACTGGTGTGGCCAAGAAACTCTCTGGCATATTTGTCCAGTGCGACAAGCCAGCAGAGGGAGTAATGGACTTTTAAAAAAAAATTTCTCGAATTTATCATATTCTTTATCATATTCCTTCTTCCTGACATTACTATCACTTGGTATTGCTATAACTATCACTAGTATTGATTTCTGATTCTTATCTGTTATCTTTCTGACTGGCCAGTAATTGTTTATCTACCTGGTCATGAAGAAGTCCCACAAGATCATTGCTTTATTGTTCTCCACGACTTTTTGAGGATTTTATAGATTTGGGAGAGTCTAAGCCATACACCGAGCAGATGTTCCTGTTGGTAACGCCACCTATTTGGTTATGCTTTTCAGTGTATGTGAATATTTATCATGATAAATTCAAAAAAATTGAAAATATCAGGAGTAGCTTTAAAAAAATTATGTTAGCGGATAGAAAGCAGAAAGATAAAAGCCTTTTACAATATCTGTTGCTCCTGCTTGCATTTTACATCCTACCACTATATGTTTCTGGAGTGTTTTTGTATAGTTTGCATTTACAGTCCTATCTAGTGTGGTAGATCTTTATTTCAATGGATCTGGTGCTTAGTGCTTGCTCCTGTGGTGCTATAATCAATGCCGCATTGTTGCCTTTTAGTCCGGCTTTCTCCAACAACTATTAGGATTTCACAATGTCACCTACCTCAGCTATTTATTAGTGGTGTAATCCATGGAGGGCCTTGTTTTATAATGGTTATTTATTTATTTATTGCGTAATTACATATTTATATTGCTGTAAAAATAATTATTTAATTATATAATTATAATATTTATTTAATCTTTTCAACCATTAAATTATTAATAAAGATATTAAATATTTATTTTCGCTAAAATATTCAAATAAACGATATAAAAATTTTTTTATTATAATGTGTAATAGAAGGAGAAAAAATCGAAATCGAAATAACGAATTTAGCCGAAGTTTTGCAGCCAAAGAAAAGTGAAAAAATATAAAAAAATGTTTAAGATAAAAAATACTAATTATATTATTGTCGCTATAGTTATTATTATTATTTCAGTAAACCTATAATCGTAATAAAAATATTATTTATTTACGATCTAAAAATTAACAGAAGATAAGTTGATAAGAGAATCTGAAAGTAAATAAATAAATGGCGGCAGGTGCAGTCACAAAAGCAAGCATCTTCAGTAGCGTGTATGGTCCATGCTCAGTGGACCCAGTAGATCAACAGACCTTTAATATGAATATTTATCATGATAAAAAAAAAAAAATATTCAAATTTTCAAAATTCAAAAAATTGAAAATATCTCGCAAGATTTGTATTCGTAGGTAGTTTTTAAGTCAATTTCTTATTCCACAATATTCCACAATTTTTGTTACGACTTTCGCACATACAAATTAGAATGTTTCCCTCGTCAATCATGATAGTCATTATCAAAATGATATATTTAATTAGTAAATTGACCCTAATCTATGGAGAGAGAGTTGCCGTTAGGATGATGCGAGGATGATAAGATAGAAGCACAGATGGTCGATAACGTCGGTCGGATCTCGAGCATCAACGGCTAGGAATCGAAATTGACGGCTTGGACTTAGTCGAAGTAGCATGTCGCTTGATCATCTTGCCTCCTTTGTTTTAACTTTCAAAATAAATACTATCACCAGAGGAATTTAGTGAAAAATATTACGATCATTATAATAGATTTACGATACAACTGATGGATAACTGGTATACTGGCATAAATAGAAGAAAGTGGTTAATCCAAGCCAATCCCTGGCTTGATTTCAAAAGGACCCGTGGTGTCTCCGTAATTGCGCCTCTCCACCTTATTGCAGATGATTTTCTTCTTTTCTTTCTACCGTCCCCAGCAACGTATCTTTTTTCCAGAGAGCCGAGTCTTCGCATAATATGGTTTTCAAAAAGAGAATGGTTTAGTCTGGGAATTTGTGCGTCGAGTAAGAACTCCGATTTGATTTGTTCAATGATTCATATGATAATTATCATAAAATTTATTATTTAAGGGATATAAAATTAGTAAATTTTGAACATTGAAAGCTCTTTGGTGAGAACAAATTGTTTAATTGCAATTGCTTAATTTGCCGACAAATGAGCGAAACGAACGAATCGATCATAAAAAATCTGTTTTAATAGGAATTATCAAATGCACAATAATAATAATAATAATAATAATAATAATAATAATAATAATAATAATAATAATAATAATAATAATAATAGTAATAATAATAATAATAATAATAATAGTAATAATAATAATAATAATAAGTTTATAAAAAAAGTGGTTGAAACGCTTTATTGGGTGGAGTTAAAGGAGGTTTAATTTTCGAAAAAATCCCTTTCTCTGCAGTATTACTCTCTAGCACAAGCAGTGCCTTAAGGCAGTTTTGATCAGTTGTTCGAGCGATGGTAGCAGGAAGCTATCGTATCGGAATGCATCTTATAACATCAGCTTTAAAGCTGCTCGAACCGCGTTTGGACGACGATTTCGTCGATCGCCTTCATTACTTATATACCTCAACTATTATTGTTTTATTCGCCATCCTTGTTTCTGCCAAGCAATACGGTTCGTTTTCTCAGAGATATTTTAGGGCGGTGAATTTCTTGTGAATTTTTATCACAAGTTATTGATGAAATAATTGTTATTTGGAATATTAGACGTTTCGTCAATTGTTGCTAGTCAATGCATAAATGATGGAGGGAAAGCATTTTATGGCTCAGCGAGTTGTTGCTGCTCTTATTTGGGAAACACCGATGGTTCTATTCCTCACAGAAGAAAGAACGTCTTTCTACGGCCATTTCCTGGCAATATTTTGTTCATTCCTGCAAATTAGGAAAGCGAGCCCAACCAGAAATTGTGAGTGCTTTTAGAAGAAAAATTCTAGAGGGAGATGACTGAGCGGTTCCGCTTGTCATGAGAAGAAGGAAGAGTTTGTTGCCCATAATAGGAAGGAGTGGACTTTTTATTCAAGAATTCTGGTGGTGACTCGCTTGCACTTCTGTCGCTGAATGGCTCTGTGGTGACTCTGTGGCAAAAATTTTTAACCGCACTAATAGCAGTATATCAGAGGACGCCTTAAGGAAATGGTGAGCGCTCATAGTCCATCTCATCTCTCCATCACTCTTCTCCACCAAATTCGGTCTTGCCATTGAAAATTAATTTTGCTTGCTTTGCGAACCCATGCCTCTGCGCTCAGGCGAGTCCCGTTATTTCCGGATTTTTCGTATTCGTAGCTCTCGAATTTCAATTGGGATATTTTGCGTGCATCGTTTTTTCTTTATTGCCAGAAGTTGTAAGTTGCAAAATCTATGAAAGTATTACTATTGTGCAAAAATACATTGCGCAAGTAAAATACAATAAATAAAATAAATAAATAAATAAATGGATTTGAAAGTGAATTTTTAGATGTTTTTTACTGTTTTAGGCGATAACACTAATCTTGTAACTTAACTAAATAAAATAAATTTATTTGTCGATACTTTCAATTCAGTAACGTTCATTCGACATTGATAATTGCATAACGCTTTACAAAATCAAAAAAAAAGAAAGCAATTAATAAGGATCGTTTTCACCGACGTAGGATTTGAAGAGAGATTCTTCGCCCAGTTGCTTTTGCTTTTATAAGCCAAGTCTGCACGCTGCAAAAGTGCAACTGCAAATGTGCAACTGCAAAAAAATCAAAAGAAAAAATTTTAAAAAATTCGAAGGAATTTCAAATGAAAAATAATTTTGTGAAATTAAATGAAAGAAATGAATAAATCACTTAGCAGAAAATGCTTTTAGTTCTAATTTTTATGAAAGTATTTGTTGGATTTGCAAGTTTATTTTTCAAGGAAAAAATGTTTATTTAGACGAATATGAAATAAGAAAAAATTATTGGGAAAGTTTTCAGCTGGCAATCCTATTGAATGCTTCGTTCCTGCACAATTCACTAAGGCAATGGAGCAATACACAGAAAACTACTGCTGGGTGCAAAATACATATTGGGTGCCTTTCCAGGTAATTTGCCTTCGACTTTCGCTTTTTCTTTAGCAAACTGTCTGCATACTATTGTCATGAGCAAACGCACTTAACACTTTACGATCCTTCACACGCTACGACTCCTTTTTTCTAAAAGGTTACCAATGAATATATATTTACATTGAACTGAACTGGAAATTCAAAATGTTTAGCACAATGACTTTTCCTTGTCATCAAAAGAATAATTTGTCATACAACGTTCAGAAAATCCTTCTATATGCATTTTTAGACTCGTATCGCGCTCAAATTTCGAAATTTTAAGAAAGTTTTAACTCGGATTTTAAAATCCCACTTTCGAAAAAAATTTCACGAAACTGAATCTCATTGGATTTCGAACAAATTGTAATATTTTCTGGCAAAGTGGCCTTTTAAGATTTCGCATATATGTATTAAACAATTTCAAATTTTAAATTTCGAATTTGTTTTGAATTTTTCCTGTAAAATTTCTTTTCGAATAGCTTTATTAATAGATGGCTTTCGTGACAAATGATTATGATTAAGGTAATGACAAATTTTATTGACGAATCTTAACAGGTATCAAAGATCCTAATTTTATCAAAGATCCTAATTTTATACTTTTTTATCAAACCATAATTTATCAGGAAAAGATTATCTATTTCTAGATTTGATTCAGATATGTGGATTCATGGTACTTATTGAAACATAGATCTGAATCATAGAACTAATCTTTTTTCGATTTAGACGATGTATCATGAATTCGATTATTGTCTCTTGAGAGATGTAAATCAATAAAATTAAAATTTGGATGGTGCTGGAAACCCACCTATAATTTAATGAAATAGTACCACTCAGCCAGACTGTTAGGAGGAGAATAAGTATTTTCGTTGTATCAAACATAATAGAAAATGAAATAGAAAATTTTTTTGGTTTCATTTAAAAACTTTTTAGGACTTGATACCTCATCGGCTAGATGATCGCGAACGAAGGCAAATTGGTTATTACCAGTGGATACCATTCGTATTAGCTATTGCAGCTGTAATGTTTCATGTGCCTGCTACAGTATGGAGAATGCTTGCAACACAATCAGGTTTTTTTTTAATTTACTAAATTATAAATTGCTTTTATTATAAGCTGCCTTCTAGTTAAAGGTCTGAGCATACAACTAAGAGAAAAATTAAAATTTTTAAAATTTAAAATTTTAAATTTTTTTTAAATTAAAGCGAATTGTCTCGATAAACTTTAGTTAAATATATATTTATATATTTATTTTACAAAATAATTTTTTTCAAAAAAATAATCAATAGAATTTAAGCCTAAACTCAAAATAAGCTTAGTTTAAATAAATATTTATGAAGAGAAGACGGATGGCGGAGAAGGAATTGCACAAGATACTGATTAAATTGGTTATTTTGGAACTAAATTAAGAGTTATTGGGAAAAAAATAAGGAAGAGAAAAGAGAAAGATTCGGAGGATGTTAGTCTATAAGCAATTCTATATGCAATTTATTTGCTACTTTTCATAACTTTAGTTATTCCTGGATAGAAGATTATCCCGGTTGGTTTTTTTCAGGTTTAAATATGTCATTATTAGTTCAACTAGCAAGCCAAGATCAAAACATTGATCCAATTGTTCGCGATCACTCAGTTGAAATTCTTACTCGCCATATTGACGATGCATTAAAATATCAACGCGATTATGGAAGTCGCAATAAAAGCGTTCGTTCTTTTTGTTCTTTTAAATTTAAATTTAAGTTTATAATCTGCCACTAAAATTTTTCACTATTTCTCGCATACAATTTAAATTTGAAAAATCCGAATTAAAAAAATTTTGAATAATATTTTTGCATTTAAATGCGATTCAACGAATGTTAATGAACATTGGAAAATTGAATATTTTTGCATTTTTTGGGAATAAAACCGAATTTGTGATGCATTTTCGGATATTTATAACCATTTTAAATTTTTTAAATTTTAAGTTTTTAATTTCACTGGAATTTTGGTTTTAATTTTCTTCTTTCATTGTTTTTGAAACCGTTTTAGTTGTACTTTTTCTTCATTTGTAATATTCAATATTCCAGATATATTTATTCGCAATAATAAAGCTTGGAAAAGTTTATGGAGCATACGTTTCTATCGTTTATCTATTCGTCAAGAGTTTATACCTCATTAATGTTTTACTACAATTTGTTTTGCTTAATAATTTCCTTGAAACTTCCGATTATCCATTATTTGGTGGACATGTTCTATACGATCTTCTTATGGTAAATTTTCAATTTATTTTTTTAAATTCTCCGATAATTTCGGCGAGTTTTCCATTTTCGATATAATTAAGCTATTTGGTTCTTGCTTGAAATAAAATTGGAATAATAATTCGTTGACTAATGCTTAACTAAACTCTTGGCGACTTATGAACATATAAATTAAAATAAATTGATAAAATAAGTTTTACGAAAAAAACGTTAGCAATTGACTACTCGTTTCTTAATACTCTTGACATGCTTTGTTAGCTTTCAATCTTTCACTGCAACCAGTGATTGATTAATGGAAATTTTTTCGTGGCGTATTTTGCGAAGCCTGCTTTAGACTTGTTCATTCTTTTTTCAACTGAAAAACGAGATTGAAAGAAAGAAAGACAATTCACAATAAGGAATGATATTGCAAAAATCACCCTTCTCCAACCTCTTATGAAATATTTTCTTTTTATTCGCTTTACGTCGAATCAAATATAACATTTAAGTATGGATATGCCTATTATTTCTTAATTTCCTTTATTTAAAGTGGAACTGTGGGAAAGGAATCAACATTGGAATTGTCTTAAACTTTTATGAGATAATTAAGTTAATATTTTTAATATTTTTAACAGAAAATTGAGCGGTTAGCACTGATTGACTTAGGCTCTATCGAGTAGTCCTAATTCAAATATTTTTGTTAGTGATTCAATTGGGGAGTGCAAGAGTGTCGGTCTCTCGCGAAAGATTTGAACTGGAAATTATGTAATCTATTGCCATAAATGATAACTGATAAACTGATACCTAGTGAAGGTTTTTTAGGAATATATCTAACTCATATATAAAGACAAATGTAAAATTCGTGATGCTTACTTACTGGCACTATCAATATAAATATGCGCAACTGTCTCGTCTTAATATTAATATTTTAACGTCAATTTAATTATTATATAAACACTAATAATAAATAGTTCACCACGTAATAATCGGTAAAGACATTATGAATAAAATTATTATTCAGCCTGTACATTTGAAAAAAAATCAGCATAAAATGAAGTTTAATGGAATTGATCATCTTTTATAACGATTATCATCGCCACTGTTATCATTCTTCTCGATTTCCTGATTTTAATCAGTTATCACTCGAATAAATAGTGATTATTTTTTCTATTCACAACGTTAGACAATTTTAGGAAAGTTTTATTTTATTCGGAAGAAAATCAAGTATACAACAGTTATCTATTGATAATAAGGAAAAATAAAAATCAAAAATAAACTGGTATTATACTAGTCGAAATGAGCTGAGGAATATATTAGTATATTATTAAAAAATTGATAATCGGATGTGGCAGAAAAAGTGATAATAAAGAAATGATTTCAACATCATTCGGATAAAAGTGACAAAAAGCGAAAATTTTGATAAAAATGACTGCTAAAAAAGTAATGAAACAGAAAAAACGATGGATAAAATTTTAGGGTCGAGAATGGCGAGATTCGGGCAAATTTCCGCGGGTAACATTATGCGATTTTGAAATCCGTGTATTGGGTAATATACATCGACATACTGTTCAATGTGTATTAGTGATAAATATGTTCACTGAGAAGATATTTGTATTTCTTTGGCTTTGGCTGCTTTTGCTTTCATTTAGCACTGCCATCAATCTTTTTATCTGGTTATTTTCGCTATCATTGGCTACTTGGCGTCATTCATTCGTAACCAAGTTTTTAGAATGTCAGTCGACACAAACCCATCGATTTGTTCATCATTTCCTTCGGCCCGATGGTGTATTTCTCTTACATGTTAGTTTTTTTTTTTCAAATTATATATATATATAATTTAGAAATTGGTTTTTAATTAATTTATCAGTAATTAATTGTTCAATCCTTGGGAGATGCAGGGAAAACAAGCCATAATTTCTAAATGGCTTCTTGACGATCTAATAGCCAATTAAGTTAGCCAAATCAGAATTTACGATTAGAAATTAGAAAAAAAACGAATAATTTTTGAAATTTTTAAATTCATATTTCAGATGATTGCAGCGCACGGTGGAAATATTATTTGCGCACGTTTAACTGAATCGTTATGGCTTCGTTTTTTGCAAAGAAGTGGTAAACTTTCGGTGTTTGATGTTCAAAAAATAATGGCTAGGGAAGACAAAATTAGCGAACAAAACGTTAAGAATGTTGAAGAAGGAAATTGGAGAGAAAGTACTTTGCCACCGCCGATGCCTTTATTACCTGCCACAACTCATTTTGTTTAGACTATTTATGCTGATTTATTTATTTATTTGTATGGTAAAAGTTTTAAAATTTTTTTCCAAATTTCACTCGATCTCTTTGGACGGCTTTTTAATTTTAATTCATACGAATTCATGTTTTTTCGAGCGCTTTAAATTCTAAAAAATAATTTTAAGATTCGAAATTTGCTCTAAATATTCGTTATTAGCAATGAATGAATTATGTTATGCCGTATGAATTTTCATATGTCGCTGGAATTAGCTGCAGTAGCATTAATCGTTGCAATGAATATGTATGTTGTAAATGAGGATTTGTTGAATTATGAACAGTTTAGATCGACGGCCTCCGATATTTGCTAATTGTTTTGGGAGATCTTGGAAAAACGCGCTAAATAGCGAGAAAAAAAGAAGAAAAGAGGAATTGTGAATAGTTTCCAAATACTTGTTAAAAACGGAATGATAGAATTCGAGATTGATAAGACCATGATATCTGCTCCACTCAATCATTTCCAGCTATTCAGTTATAGTCATATTGATAAGATTTCTTTCTTATTTTCTTATTTTCAGTCGACGACATTTTTATTTTTCCAAAAAAATCATTTCCTTCAGTAAGTACGGGTTTTTTAAAGTAATTTTTTTGCCAATTTTTAATTCTTTTTTTGTTTACTTGAAAAAAATTTTTTTTTCATTAGCATAATTTTAGCAATTTTTTCATTAGCTTAATTTTTATTATTGAATAAATAATTTGTTTTCTAATGCATTTAAGAAATCTTACAGTCCAAGATTTTCAATGTTCTTCATACGTTTCACGGTGTATTTTTAAGAAGCCTTATGATCTTCCATTATGAATTAAAAGAATCAGAGTGGTTCATTTTACGGTGAGAGAATGTGCTGATGTTATTCCTAATAAAGCTACCTTCTGAATGGGGCGATTTCAAATAATAGAATAAATAATCTCTGAAAATTTTTACATTTTTTAAAATGCAGTCACAGCGAAAATAATAAATGAAAATATCAACTAATCTTTTTAAAATCAGTCATATTGAAAATAAATTTCCTCAATAATTCCATCAGTTTCGTGAAAACTTTATTAAAACGACAATAGGAAACAAACAATAGAAGAGACAATAGAAATCGTCGTAACATGTCAATTGTTCTGTGCTCCGAAAGAACTCGTCAGTAGCTTTCCCTCCTGCAGTTTATTATGTTCATTATTATTTATTATTTGTTTGTTATAATTTCGGTGAATTCGGTGAAATATTAATTATTTAATAACATGGTTTTATTGCAGAATTAAATTCATTCCCTCGTATATATATATTAAATTGAATTATCGAAAATCTTTAAATATTTTATCTTTATCTTTATAATGGGAACATTGGGAATATTTGTTAAAAAAAGAAAAAATGGCAAACAGCGTAGAAAATTAATATGAGAAAATAATGGCCTCAGCTGCAAGCGTGAGGCTGCTCTACGTCGAGGAGAACAAAACTGCGATGCCAGCAACGCTCGAATAATTGATGATATTCGTATGTGGTAAAGAAAACCTATTTCAGGTATTGTCAATATGATAAAATTTTAGGGGGAAATCTAGAGATATAATTTAATTTGAGGGGTTAAAAGGCATGACGAGAGACGTTAAGAAAATATGGTAGCACATGAGAAGAGTGGGAAAACATAAGCAAATGTTTTGAGGGCCAGGGGGTTCGATGAGATGTAATCGGGTTTAAAGCAATTCAAATGGAGTAATTTGAAGAAGTTTTAAGGAAATACAAATATTATTATAACAAATTCTTGTGCGGATTTTAATTGTTCAGACCAAGATGATCAACCAAAACTTTAAGCACAATTAAATAAATTGCCTGCGAAGCCTATCGTTTTAATTTTAATCTAAAATAAGCAAAAATTATTAAAATGAATAAAATGATTTCTGGATAGAAATTAATGAAAACAATTTTAAAAAGATGATCTAAGGAGAAATTTATATTTTGCTTTCGTTCAGCTTTATTTCTTAACCAAATGATTCCAACATTTCCAAGAAAAAATACATCTTTCCAAAAATTCCTCGTTACATTTTCTATAGACTTTTGATTTTAGAAACCTTTCTTAGCCATATCTGTGGGCTGCTAAGATGTAGTACTGGATATAGGATAGAATTTTATTATTTTATTGACACAAAAATATTTTATTTTGTGACAGCAGTACAAAGTAATATTGATCAGATGATACATGATAGATAATACAATGCAGCCAGATTGTGTCATCTCTTTCCCTGATTCATCGAGTTATCTTGTTTTTTTCTGGAATTACACAAAAATACGAAAAAGCAAACAAGGATACTGGTGGTTATAGGGAGGTGGTCGACATGGAACAAAAAACAACAACGTTTTAGTTCGAATGCAAGCAAAGTCTCTATCTTTCCGATTGGATCTTTGAGCAAGATGCTCTTGTCAGCCCTACCTCAATGTCGTGCAATAGAATCATGCCGACTCAGAAATCGCCCTGATTAACAAGATCCGCGTCAAATGCTGAGGGACCAGGGTTATATGATCTCAAGTGGGCTACTGGAAGAGCATTAGTTGTAGTAGGACCAGAGCAGTGTGTTAAAAGGGCAATGCAAACTTTAAATGGAGGAGAAAGTGGAAATGAATGAAATGTTACTATAATGGTGGACTTAATGATCAAAGGAAAAAGTATAATATATGAAGATATTGTGGATGGCAAAAAAGACCTATAACCATATTAACTGAAGAACAGTTAGTGGGTAAATACTTCAATGTAAGAGAGATGAAAACTGCTCTCTAAGAGGAATCAATTCTGCGCAGAATTTTTCAGAAAAAAAAGATATGCAAGCAACAAGTTGGGAAGCTGGAAATTGCCTTCGTTGCAAAGTGGAATAGTTGATATAAGGTAGAAAAACATGAATAAAATGGATATAATTAACCATCGAGATTGACAACCGAGGCTCAATGATGCACTACCAGATAATATAATCGCAAAGGTAAATAGAGCAACAATTTTTAATGCCACTGTAACAGAAACCAATAAATTGATGTACACCACAATCTATGTATTTTTCGAAATGCTGGGATGTAAAAACAAGAAGAATAAATGGCCAATCCGCCCATGAAAAATGAGGC